TTATATTCGCCGAATCGCTTTATGATCTCTTGGCGCACACGAAATAGAATCCTTATTGTGTTTGTGAATGTTGACAAAAATAAACTCGTGTGCTGACCTGATTCCTGAATATTTTGTACATTTTGATCAGAACACTCACATTGCGAATTGGTCTGGCCACCGGGTGTTCGTAACAAAGCTGGCTTACTATCCTAAGCTCCACTATATTTAAACCAAAGACTGACTAATACTCTCAAGCCCTTTTTGAATACAGCACTGCATTAACCTCGTTGACGTTAATGGCTGTTCTTTTCCTATCTGGATAATCCTGTTGTATCATGAGGTCGGCAATTAGATAAACAAATGATATGGATGTTGAAGCAGAGGAAATTAGTTAATTGGAAGATTATCGTTAATAATTTAGCTACTGTATGTCAGTTTTCATGTTTTTCGTCATTTTTGTTGTCACTGTAACGTTCTCATTTCATCGTTGATTCCATGATGAATTATCTCTTGTTCAGACAGACCTTTGCAGTGATGTGATCATTTCTCCCAGCGAGCACAAAAACATCTCAGAGATGTTAAAAGTACGAGATTTCGACACATTGAACCTCCACTGCGATGTTCTGTTCACACATGAATAGAACTATTATAGAACAGCCAATGTCCGCCGCAGGCGGCAATTATCAAGATGTCCTTGATATGTCACAACACTACCTTCTCCCTAGTTTTTTTCAAAGCCTTTTCATGGACACAACAGAACATTTTCAACGCGTCTTGCGCACATTAAATCGCTGTAGAAAAACCATTTTCGAGGTGTTTTTCTGCAGCTTTCTGTCAAAATGAATTTTTGCATTAGGATTCCATTTCCCTTGAATGAAAAAATGCATTAAAAATAGATTGAACATAAAAATATTTTCTTGATATGAAATTACCTTCTTAATCGGTTTCTGAGTAGTGCTTACTACACACAGACATATAATTGGAAATAGGTTTCCCAATTTTTGAAATGTTCTCCACAATGCATAATTTTGCAACTGAAGCTGTGTATTGATTTGAATTCGTACTATTATATATTGATTACACTGAGGCATCGAACAACACATCTTGCATCTGATGGTCATTATTATACAAACTAAATGAGTCTTCTAACACAATAAACTTCACCAAATTCCTTTCTGTTCGTTAGCAGCGTGATGTAAGCGTGACACGCTGCAAACGCGAATGCCAATTGCGAACAAGAAGAACAAAATCGAAAACAAATCAGAATTCATCGTATTGTGACGTAAGCATGAGACGTTGTGGTAGGGCAAACAAAGAAAGGGCACAAAAGAACAAAAACAATACTTTCAATACCCTTCTAAGACCTCTTTGGGAAGTGCATATTACGCCTCAAAAAGCATCCTCATGCCTACATTTCTAACACATCTCAAAACATCCCAGGGATACCTCTCAGTAGGCAAACAAAGAAATGCCACAGAAGAACAAAAACAATACTTCAATATCCTTCAAAGACCTCTTTGGTCAGTGCATATTACGTCTCAAAATAACATCTTCATGCCAACATTTTCAAAACATCCCAAAACATCCCAGGGATGTTTGTGCTCGCTGGGCTGTGTTGTAGTAAATGGACAATTTGTGATGCATCCAGTGAAATATGGATGCGCAGAAACAGTCGCATATCAATTAACGTGAAAGTGGGCTACCCCCGTTGATATTGATATTGACTTGTTTTGCATGATGTGTGCAGCGAACATCATGATTGTATCGTATAATCTGACCCTTTTTTCGCTATAATTTTATGATGGAAATTTAAATACGTTATCCTGACTACATATATATCGAGGAAATCAAACGACAAATGAAATATTCAATATTGAAAGTGCTATTTCAAGACCTGTGAATTCAAACGCTACTGAGCTGTGATGTCAGTGTCTTCTTGCAATTTGATTGGTTGTAGTTTTTACGGCTGGGAATCACTCCGCTGTAGCCAGATCTCTATGATTTTTTTGAATTGATCCTATGTGCAAGATGGTGCAAGAAATGCAATGATTCGAAATAACCATGTAGTAGGTGATTAGCTGATTGGCAATTCACTGCTGATCACATTCGATCTACTCAGAATTCCAAAGTATTTCATTAGTTTCAAGGTTAGCTAGGATGAAATGTAATGCAGGCATCTAACACTAAGACGCTTTTTTTATACGCAGTTTGGTTTCAGTCATGTTGAAATTTCGTTTACTAATTGTTATAATCAACAAATTGAACAGTGTTACCTACTATGTCTCAAGCACTCATTTCCGGAACATTCAATTGCTGGCATCTATGTCTCCAAGAGAATAATATGAAGCAAAACTTCACTGTTCCTGTTTCTCAATATTTATGACAAGAAGGCAGTAATGCTTGTACTTGTATCAGTACTTGTAGGAATGATCGATGTATTAATGAACGTCAAGCATAAAAAATATTCAATCAATGGAACGATGAAATAACTAAGCAATTATTTGATTATCACAGTTCAAATTAACCGAATGTCATTGCGAATTGTGAACGAAATCTACCGTCAAATCTTTTAATGGGCAAGCGGAAAACCAATACAGTAAATTTCATATCTCTTTTTATCTGCGACAACGTCATGCCCGCCATTTCTAGATTTATTGGCGCCATAAAAACCTTCCATTCCATAAAAAAAGGAAATGGTCTGAAGGAATCGTTGTTCCAAATGGACGTAGATAGAATCTGGCAAAACTGCAGGCACATCTCGATATAATTCATAAGTTAAAACTACTGGAATATAATTTTCTTTCAAAAGTTATCACAGATATATTCTCAGTTATAATTGTAAAAAACAAAGCACAGCAAAGCATGAACCAGTGTCTTTCTTCAATATATCCAAACCTATATAGAAATTGGCATCATGACATGATGGATGCGAATGAAATCATGAGAATGATGAAAAAGCTCAATCATAAACCGCAATTAACTTCATTAACATTCACAGACAACAGAAAAGGTATTGTATAGTACAATCATCTTGTTACTGCGAAGGTTTATCAAGGCTATTGTGTACATAACTTCAGTACAAGAATAATCGAGAGCTTCTATAGGTACTTCTATGGTACATGGTACTGTTGAGTCTCATTGTGGGGATGAGGCTAGGCATCTAGGTGAGTAACTCAGAAATGACAAACACACTGGTTCTGAGAAGATTGTGAAGTGAGACACTAGAGTTCCAATCTCAGATTCAGCTATTCCTTCTGTTCTGAGATTGATGAAATGAGGAGAGATCATTATCCAGGATTTATCGAATTTTCACCTTTATTGGTATGTATCCAATTCAGCCTTCCTGGTAGAAATATTCCCCAAATTTCCACAATCTAGCTGGTGGAATGCTGGGATCATTGCGTTTACTCAGGGCACACGGTTCTGGGTCCCAGTGATTATTCACCCCACAGGCTGTGGGGAGTAGTCACTGGATTTTATCCAGCACGACTCTGCGTGGCGTCGGAGGCCGCAGAGTCGTGACCGGAATTGATATAAATCTAACAACCGTTTTTCAGGACAGACTTTATGTTGGCAACTGTATATCATTGTGTTCGTAATAAAGCAGCACTTATTTTCATGTTTGATTTATAGTTTGAAAAAGTAGGTGAAGAAAACTATATGGAACCAAAATACCTGTTTATACCTGGCAAGGCAATAGTTATACCGGGACTAATATAGGCAACCCTACGTTTGCATAATCTATAGGCTTTGTACTCACGGTTGTTGTAAAAACCCATCGATAGAAATTAAATAAGAAAGTGATTTTCGAATTTTAAATATAGCCTGGCTAGGATTTTTTTAGGCAACCTATTTTTCAATAATTTTCAACATGCTGAGTAAGTTATAAAATAATCTCCATCCATTGAACGGATGGGTGAAGGTCGATCTTACTTCGGATCCTCTACTATGTAGATATTGTGCCTACTTTCCGAAAATGAATGTTTTTGGAACCTTTCCACACGTAATTCTAATCGTTCAAGGTTGAGAGAGTAGGATATAAAAGTTAGTTAATGTAAGTTTAGTTTATTGTAGCAGTATTTCACCTGAAGAAGCTACTGTGTTAGCGAAACATTGCGTGTGATCAAGAATTTTGTGAAGTTTTTCAAAAAAGTATTTCTACCTCCGCCCATGATTTCTACGATCCGATTGTGATGTAATGGAGAAATCCTGCCTAATGGGGATAAAAATACCGTGATTGCCGAAAAGGTCGGGTTACATTCATTCGTTGAAGGGATTGGAATCCGAGACTGATTTCGATGAATTATCGATGTGGATCCGAAACTCAACAGAGGCAAGTAATTATTGACGTTTGTATCATATTCAGAGAAAATCTGAAGTTCTTGTGTGTCACCTTGGCAAATTTGATTCCTTCTTTGTCAATAATAGTAATACTTTTCCATCTTGTTTGAATAAATTCTGATGGATCCACCTGGCGAGTTGAAATTGTAGCAATGCATTTAAATAGAGCAATTGAATAAAATAGTTCATTAAGTTGACTGCCGACCCTAAAACATCGACATGGATGTCTGAAAATACAATTTTCATTTAATGGTCTCGTGGTTTATCGTTTCCATATCATGAGTGTCAATTAGTATGCGCATTTCAACAAAAGCGATGCAAATTCATTCAAGACTATTTCTATTTGTTGTGAGCTGAACATTCATCCTATTTATGGTATCTAGGCACAAAATGATCTTCTTGTCCTTGAAATATATATGGACCAATCGGTTAATGGTCAATGTGAAAGTTTGAAGAAATTCAGATGTGTTGATACTAGCGACACATCCACAGTTTCGAAGTATTTCAATTGTATGAAAGGATTCCGAAACAATCAATACGAGATACCCCAATTGCAATATGATTCCTGAATCGAGAACGGAAATATTTGTTCTATATCTTTCACCATCTACTATGATTATGATTACAAATATATTATATTCAGTGAGTTAATGAAATATTTTTCTCATTCATTTCAGAGAACTGAAAGTAGCATGCACCAATGCCTTAGCAGGCAAGAGATTCACTCAAGAAATCGGCGTTGACAAAGTGGACAAATCATTAGTAGCGAACTTCGAGATTCTCAACTTAGTTCCAGATCCCTACATTTACAATAATAAAACTGAAACGGGTAAGTCATTCTTGAGTTGAGTTATTGCCATCCATAATTGGTTATCCTTCAAATCTGGAGTTGTTTCCAATTCATTGTAATCCACTTCTATCACGATATTCTGAATGATCGAGATCATTTTATCATTTTGTTCATGAACTTTCGTTGAACTGATGGTACGCTTATATTTCAGAAATGCCAGTCCACTCCTCGACTAGCGTCAAATGGAAGAGAGTTGGCATGGTCTCGGGCAGATCGGTACGATTGGACACTATAATATGGCCTGGAGGTGATTTGTCCGTAGCCGCAGTTTCTTCCCGAGCCAGAACAGTCTTCAGAGTGGTAACAGCTCTAGCCCCACCCTTCGTCATGGAAAGTGAATTAGACGAAGATGGGCAATGTCTGAGAGGTATGAAACATATTAAAATTATTCAAACATTTTTTTCTTGATGTGGTTAACAAGCAATGAAAAAATAGAATGAATCGAGTTTTATAGGTCTCCCGTGTCATCGAGTCCTCACATCAGACAAAGACAATCTGACGCTCGTATTCAACGAGATGCAACGCATAGAGGAAGAAGAAGAAGAAGAGGATGAGGTGAAAGAAGATAATGCCCAGAAGCACCCGCAATACTTGGGTGACTACCAAAACGAAGAGGAAGAGGAGGATCGGTTTTTTCCGTTCCAGAAATTCAAGTATCGCACAAATTGTTGCTACGGTCTCTCGATGGACTTGCTGGAGAACGTCGCTCAAGAATTAGAATTTGATTTCAGGTTGTACATAGTGGCTGACGGACTTTTTGGCTCGAAAATCAGGAGGACCAAAAAAAGGAGGAGCGAGAGAGATGTTGGGAAAAAATATCTGAGCTACAGGTTGGTGTACCTAAAAATTGAGTCAGACCATTGTGAATATGTAATCTTCTTGTCCATGAGATATATAATAATAATAATAATAATAATAATAATAATAATAATGCAATGTGATACTTTCACAAGCATTGTGCTGTTAAACAATGCACAAAAAATGCAGCGAGAGACGAAGAAATAAGATTTTGTAGGTAAATACTGTCTGTAGGTTAATCGAGGAGGTGGTATATTCATTATTCCAAATTTTTTGGGATTTTCTCTCCTCGTTTCTATAAAATAAAAATATGAATATTATTTCAATATACGTGTAGTAAGGACAAATCAGATGATTTGCCCCAAAATGTCACTGCGTTTAAAGAATTCTCCTATCAGAGAGCCTAAAAGAAAAATTCACTAGCTTGTCAGTGACAATTTGTATTGAAAAAATTTTTGGAGAAGGGAAATAAAGGTATATAGAAAAAATATCAAATTTTCACTTATCTTTGGACGTTTCGGGACCGGTTCTGCTCCCGTTTTCAACATAAGAAGAGATTATTTCAATAGCGAAGTCGTATAATGTCTTGAAGCTTTTCAGTTTTCAATGACAATTGGTGACGTTGGCAATCAAATGAGTTACAGGATGTTTTCATTAATTGATCTTGAATTTACCATTTTCATGTTCAGATTTTAGTAGTGAATACCATGTTCTGTCTATATCAACTGAACAAGAAGCAATGTTATTGTCTCCGTTCAGAAGAATGCAAGCAGATTCCTTGATTTTTCTCTTCTGGTTGTTATCTTCTTTTCCAATAATTTTAATATCATTCCACTGAAGACGGACAACATATGGCAGAGTGGAATGATATTAAAATTATTGGAAAAGAAGATAACAACCAGAAGAGAAAAATCAAGGAATCTGCTTGCATTCTTCTGAACGGAGACAATAACATTGCTTCTCGTTCAGTTGATATAGACAGAACATGGTATTCACTACTAAAATCTGAACATGGAGATGGTAAATTCAAGATCAATTAATGAAAACATCCTGTAACTCATTTGATTGCCAACGTCACCAATTGTCATTGAAAACTGAAAAGCTTCAAGACATTATACGACTTCGCTATTGAAATAATCTCTTCTTATGTTGAAAACGGGAGCAGAACCGGTCCCGAAACGTCCAAAGATAAGTGAAAATTTGATATTTTTTCTATATACCTTTATTTCCCTTTTCCAAAAATTTTTTCAATACAAATTGTCACTGACAAGCTAGTGAATTTTTCTTTTAGGCTCTCTGATAGGAAAATTCTTTAAACGCAGTGACATTTTGGGGCAAATCATCTGATTTGTCCTTACTACACGTATATTGAAATAATATTCATATTTTTATTTTATAGAAACGAGGAGAGAAAATCCCAAAAAATTTGGAATAATGAATTTTGTAGGTAAATTGGGATCTAGGAGTACTGTAGTCACCCTAGTCATTTACATATAGTTCTCATTTGAAAACTTTGTCATTTCTTCTCTCCAGAATGTCTTCTGATACATCTGCATTGAGAGCTAATAGATTTAGAATGTTACACATATTCCAACAGCGTTTCAGAGACCAGTCCTGCGTTTGACTGCACGACTCCAAGCTTCTTGCCTTATTTCAGAAACTTCATAACCCTTTTTTTTTTCAGCTCCTATTGCAGAAGGAATTCAATTTCACCTGAATATTTGGGATTTGATGATTTTCCAAAATGAAAACTTCGTGAGTAACTACAAGAGCAATCATTTACCTACCTGAAAATGAATCTCATTCCATCATCTCTCCCTGCATTTTTGTGCATTGTACAACACCTCAATTTGATGGCATGCTCGAATGAATAAATATCCCAAGTAACACGATTCATATGCCGAAATAATTCACGATCATTTGTAAACAAAGAGAAAAAGTGAGGTTGTCAGCGTTGTTTTACCTTCAGGGTCGACCATCTGTCAAATGTGCAAGCTTCTTATCGATAATAATTTGTTCAATCCAGGTTCTATCGAATTCGTACATTCTGGTTGCGCGAAAGACTGACACGTCAATGTCATTCGTGATCAAGTCACTGAAAAGAAAAAATCTGAAGGGTATCTCCCATGCAGTAATGAATTTGCGCCTTTGAAGTGCCCACCTGATATTAGATCAGATATTAATTTGTCATTCCATCGTCTGAATCATCCGGAACTCACGAGTCCCAAAAGAATTATTCTGATAATTAATATCTAAGGTAATGACTTATAGAGTTTCATGTCTGATTGTTGAATATTTTGTGTCGAACAATCATGCCTGTCAGAATAAATTCCTTCAGCTATCGTATTTTCCATTTCTATGTTCTTTCTAATACATCTAAGAATATATATACAAAATTTCATGATAATCGGTTGAGTAGTTTGGGCCTGAAAGGCCGACAAACAAACTTACATTCACATTTCATAATATCAGTGGCGATGGTCCCATCGGTTTGTGGTCAATGTGGTAATTTTCGAAAATAAACATCAAATTTTTATCTTTATGGGAAAAAACTCGATGAGATGTGTCAATACTATACCTTTTCAACTTCAATTTCGGAATCGGTGAGTTATATTTCGGAAAAAGTAATCTCGATTTCAGAATTGGTTAGTTCGATTTCAGAAATGGTAAACTCAATTTCAGAATCGGTGAGATGAATTTCAGAAAAAGTCTATTCAATTTCAGAAATGGTAAGTTGTATTTCAGAATCATTATTGGTAGGTTCAATTTCAGACGATGAAATCCTTTTATATGTTTGAAATGTTTTCAATTGCAAAAGAGAAAATTGTTTACAGTGGATGGAACGGTGTTTGAGAGCCCTATGTTGAATCAGATTGAACATATATGCATGGGGTGCCTTCAAGTCAGAAGTGAAGAGCTTCTTGCAAGAGCATCGCCAAAGGGTCATAGCTGGAGATCCGAACAGATTGCTCAACCAGATAGAATTCAGACTGCGATGTCTTGAAGAATGTGCAGAACATTCAATGAAAATGATAATACCTCAAATTAATGTGTTTGCATTCTTATAATCATGTGCAACGTCACTATCTTCCAGCGATTCAGATGGAAGGCATCTGTGGATTAAATTGTTTTTGAAAAGTTGAATATTTTAAATATGGTTTGTTAATCTCACATGCAATTGGAAACATTTCGAACAAATAAAAGGATTTTTTTATGATATTGAACCTACCAATTCTGAAATACAACTTACCATTTCTGAAATTGAATGGACTTTATCTGAAATTCATCTCACCGATTCTGAAATTGAGTTTAGCATTTCTGAAATCGGACTAACCAATTCTGAAATCGAGATTACATTTTCCGAAATATAACTTAGCGATTCCGAAATTGAAGTTGAAGAGGTATAGTACCATAATAATTAGGCAATCCAATTAATTGTCAATCTATACAGTAATTGGCACACAATGGAATTATTCATTTGTGATAAATTGTTTTCATATGCGGATTCCTCTTGGTATCAGAAGTACAAGTCATATAATCGAAGAATATCATGAACAGTAAATGTTTAGTTGTTCAAGTAACATCATTCTATTGATTTATTATATGGTGCCAACCAGGCGCCATATTGATTCCTACCTCAGTTGGATTGCCTAATTGTCCGAATCTTTCAACAATCACAAAGTTAGTGACACATTCACTGTTTCAACCTGTCATTCGTATTCAAAGATACCAAAACATTCAATAAGAGATAACTCAAATCCACTAAGTTCCCTGATTTGAGAAGGAAACGGATTTTTTTGCAGATTCAAGGACGACCGTTTGAAGACAGACAGGGTATCCAACGAGTACGATCCTGGTGACGCAGATGCCAAGTGGAACGGCATAATGGGTGACCTGGTATCTGGAACAGCCCACATGTCATTCGCTGCCTTGAGCGTTTCCAGTGCACGTAGCGAGGTCATAGACTTCAGCGTTCCGTACTTCTTCAGCGGAGTGTCTTTCCTAGCTGCCCCACAACAAAGGTCAGAGATACCCCTCATGGCCTTCTTGCTGCCTTTCTCCACCGAATTGTGGATCGCAATTTTCACTAGTGAGTGGAAATCATCTAGAAATATTCGAGCTCACAAATCTCTGAATTCATGAATTCCAGGTTTGAACATAACGGCCATTGCAGTTGCCATCTACGAGTGGTTGAGTCCGTTCGGGCTCAATCCTTGGGGACGTCAACGTTCGAAGAATTTCAGCATGAGTTCGGCCCTGTGGGTCATGTGGGGCCTTCTGTGTGGCCATCTGGTCGCTTTCAAGGCGCCAAAAAGTTGGCCCAATAAGTTCCTCATCAACGTGTGGGGAGGTTTTTCGGTGATTTTCGTGGCCAGCTATACTGCCAACATTGCCGCTTTGATAGCTGGACTCTTTTTCCACAATACCGTCAGCAATTACCACGACAGAAGTGTGAGTATCAACAAATATAATACTCACTAACTGACCCGGCAAACGTTATTTTGCTAACACTGACTCATGATATACCCTCCTTTAATCCTCTGTGTTTCTAGCTATATTCCTGTAATTCCTTCCTCACATATTAGGAAATTATTTCCTCCTTCAGTTTTCCTGAAAATTACATCAACTCCCGATTTTCGAATGAAACAATTCAAGTTTATAAAAGCTCAATGAGTGTGACAGAGAAAGAAATTTCGATATCGCTCCGTCACACCCATTGAGCTTATGAAAACAGCGAATCCGGATATCTTCGTAATCGTTTGAAATACCCCAATCAAACTAGGTATTGTTGAATTCGTTATAATAATCTGCAACCGATTATCGAATAAAATACAGGGTGTTTATTTTGGAAATCGAAAATGGATGTCATTTTCGGAAAAGCCGGAAGATGAAAACAATTTTATAGAATGTGAAAAAGTGCCATCTAATGAGCATATTCGATTTCAAGTTCCAGAAATATATTGAATAGAAATATTCTCAGATATAATAATTATGAACATAAAAATGGGGATATATATATAAAAAATAGGTTCATTGAGAATTCGCATTCTCTATGTGATAAAAATATCGATTCTCTCTCGGTTAATTCAACAGAAAACAACTTCTTTCCTGGCTATATGCCACGATGAACTTCGAATCATATCTTTTGAACACAGACGATAAGAATTTGAAAACAAAATCTTCTAAAGTAGAGGATTTGCATTTTTTATCAAATAAAGATATACACATGATCATTCTGAATATTCAACAAAAAACAACTACTTTCCTGGCTCTTTACCACGTCGAACGAATTATATCTGTTGAACATCCAAAAGGTGAGAATGAAAAATGAAAATCCTCTGAAATTGAGAATTGACATTATTTCTCAAATCGGATAGAATAATGTAATAATGTGATGTATTATAATATAAAAAATATAACTTACCAATATGTTCAGTATTGAAATGAGAATTGAAATGTATAGAAGAGGGAACTTCCAAAAAAATCATTCGTATCAGTGATAGTTATAAAACCAGAGGAGAAGAGAGGGGTATTCTTGAGTCTGTGTGTTATTTCTAGATAATATTTTTCATTCAAATATTCAACACACTTTCATCATTTTATGTTCCACTTTTTTTTTCTCGAAGGTTTGACTAATTATTTAAGCGTGTTTTCTGAATTTTTCGAACTACTATCAATTCTCTATTCATTTTCAGTTCGGTTATCTATCAACTTTTCCAAACTACTATCAATTTTCTATTACCTTGTAGTTTGACTATCTATCAAAGCGTGTTCCATTTGTTTTTCAGAACATTATTTATGTATTTATTACAAAACTCGTTCGACATATTAAATCAGCCATCTTGAGTTTTCTAATTATGATAAAGACCTCTAAAACCACCAGATACCAAATTTATATAAAATCGGATCATAATTATTACAAAGCTCGTCCGCCATATTGCATCCGTCATCTTCAATTTCCTAATTCAGTGCTATATGGGAAGATAAAATCAGAATGGGGTACCTTCATTCGCGGTAGTCAAGGTCATCATCTGATATTACGATGACATGAAAACTACGGAAAAACAATCCTAAATCCTGGCTTAGATTGCAAGTTAGACACCTGTCACCTGGTATGAGATGGACACGACAGTTTCTATAGGCCGTGGTATTGTTTCAATAAAAACAATAAATACAATTGGTGCTCACAATATGAAGAATCGTGCTGTTACCAAGCAGCAATTGAATCTCGTTGATTTCTGACAGAATTACTATCGATAATATTGAGAGCACTCATGATATTACCTCTGATCATTCCTCAATTCATTGCTTTTCTTTCATTTTGATTTCTAACAAAGACTTCTCTAGTCTTTAACTCTCGAACTGTTATTCCGACCATAAATCCTGCGAATTCATTAGGATTCCTGAGCAATAGAGATTGTCAAATCCATGAGTATGCGTTTGAACTTTGATTAATGAGTTTGAATCGATATTGAAGTGCTGACAGTAGCGTAGGTACAAACAAATTGTTGACTAGCAAATTCGAAGAATTCATTCCAATATCATAGCCTTCTGCTATATGGAACGTATAAATTGCGAACTTAAAGGTTGTTTAGTGATTTACGTAACCGCGAAGTGAAATAGAAGATAAAAGGACTGTCAGTTTCTTTCTCGGACACGGCTAGTTTTTCGGAACTGGCAGAACAAAATCCATCAACAGGGCACATATACAAGGTATTTTTGAAATTTGTGCACATATTTTGCACCTCAATATGATACAGACAAGATATTAGACTTTTTCTGGTTCTTTTAATTAACGAGAAATTGCATCCCAAAGATTGAACAGAATACGACAAAAAAATCAAGTACGCTACTTTGAAACAATTTTATTCATTGAACTCCGAGTGATTGTGCCTACTGCATGGGAATTAGAACAGAGGTGACGTCAGATTTGCAACAGTGTAGAACTTTGGATGGAGAAAGGTGTCTAACCTCCAAATTTCATTTTGATCCCTAATTTTTTTATTAGTGCCATTCGATAGGACACGTCGAGCTTTCTCAGTGTTTAAAATATTTGCACTTATTTCAATGCCACCCTGTATATCCGAGAAAAAATTGCTCATTTTCTTCCCATGGAAAAAAGTGATTCATTAAAAGTGTCCTGCCAACAGAGATGGAAAGTCAAACATTTTCCCGTCACAGAAAAAAAATTCCATATCTTAGAAACAGAGCGTCGTAATTTTTTAGGGTTTCATCATGAAAACCATGTTCCTACACTGGAACAAATAGGATGCTAGTAATTTCTGCAATACGACGATTTTATAGTGGTCATCATACTCTGGATGTGTGGACCAAACAACACTTCACGCGATAGCCTACGTATAATGGAGAATCGAGGGTTCGGATTGTAGGTCAGCGAGGATTATAGGAACTCTTTTGGGGGTTAGATACTGCGGTTGACAGTAAGCAGACGCTGACTCGATGGGAGATGATGACATTGTGTGAATATTGAGGTATAACGGATTTCAGTACGAATGGTATGGCCACAACAGGGTTTCACCTGCTGATTACATCGGAATTCCGAATAGAGAATTATCATTCGAGACCGTAATGCTTAAGCTATCAGGCAAGGTTAAAGTACCAAAGCATCGTTGACACATACTATTTACTCTGTATTCAGATTGGAAACCCAAGCTAGGTTAGATTCTGAAGTATGCCAGGCCAATACGGATAGTCTGAGTTTCCACACAGCTTTTCATCTTCATAATCTTGTGAAACGTGGACATTAGAATATTTTGTTGACATTTTCTTCCATCGGCGGAGAATTCCAAAGCTTTGCCGTTTCATAGACAAATGAATTTTGCTAAGGAGTTCGTCTGACTAGTATTACCAGTATTGAAGTGATATTCATCAACAGCGTTGACCTCGTCATGAGGTCCTATAGTTTCCTGTGATGGAATAAAAATTCTGGAAAAGGACGTTGTATGGAAATTACTCCCATCGTAAAGCAGTTGTAAGAGCACATGGTGCCGAATTTGATCCTTGTGGAATGCCACAATTGATTACTATGGTTATCAGACGATACTTCGTCCACCACCTCATAGTACGTCTGGATGAAACGTCGATGAAAAGCATAGCTAGGGAAGTGAAACATAGGATGGGACTGAAGAAGTCTCTGAAGTCCTGGAGATAAAGATTGCCCATGTTTTTTCTTATGAAGCTTGACATAAAATGGTTTACGTAGGCGAGAAAATCTCCACTTGATCTTCAATGGCAAAAGCCATATTTTCTATCAGTCTCTTTGGAAATTGAAGCTCATTTTATATTATATATAAACGTTGGCAGACGAGAACAATATAGTTGCTAGCGTTTCTGTGAGATGAATGATTCAATTTATCTCCGAGTGAATGATATGTCTGTTGGATTTGTATCTTTCATCATAACAGACTTCTTTATTAAGTGCATACGTCGCAACGTTTCACAATATCTCGGAAACAAGATCCTCATTTATATTTTCTTTGTGCTTCTCTCCTTTGTGAAGAATTTCCAGGAATGAATATAGGCATGGAGAGAAAAGTTTAATTGGAAGGGTGTTGCTGCGTTATACTTGTATCTATTGATAACCAACAATATATTGAATTCTTACTTCAATAAGCAGCGTAATTCACTGAGTCTCCCATACTTTCAATTAGAGACTTATGAGTCCTAGCGTTCAAACCGAAATTCGAAGGAAACGTCGTCTCAGTTGAGTCGTTGATGTCGTCGATAAAATCTTTGAACCTTTTGGAAATACTGTACGAGTACACATAATACATATTATTTCATTGAATTTCCTAGCCCTCTATCAGAGCTGTTTGATCCGCTCAAACTCGCTAGACAGTCGTTTACGATGCAGAGCTGCTTCGGTTCGAATCTGGCTTGACTGGGTATTTTTCTGGGAAATAAATGGTTCAGTAAACTTGAAGTATATGGTATAAGAGGGGTTGTTCTTGCTCTTTTCAATTTATATCCATCAAATAGACAGCACTGTGTTGCACTTGATTCGAATAATGTTGTTGTTGAAACTCATCAAATGTGGAGTACCACAGGGATCTGTTTTGGGCCCTCTCCTTCTTATAATTTATATCAATGTCATGTCATGTCTCCCTATGGCTGTATTGCTTTTGCTGATGATACCACGTCTGGTATGGATAGACAAGTGCTTTTGAATGGAATTAATCTGGCCCAAAAACATGCGGCAACATGGCTTCAAAGAAACGATTCGATGTTGAATTCGAATAAAACTCAACAACTATTTTTGTCAAATTGTCTCTAACAAGAACTCAGTCAAATTGTTGGTCAATTTTCTATATATTCCTTCTCCGAAAACTGAAGAATATTATTGGCGTCCAGGCACTGTTATCAGCATTTTATGCATTCTTATTTTATGGGGCAATTGCACAAAAGCCATTGGAATATTTATTCTTCAGAAGAAAGCAATAAGAATTATCGCTGGTGCTGGCTACGCTGATTCATGTAAACCATTCTTTACATTCCTAAAAATCATGACGCTACCATCTATTTACATATACCAACTTTTGTTGAATATTCATAGAATAAAAAAGATTACGAAAAAAATTCTGACTTTCACAATTACCCCACCAGGAGCTGTCAATTGATCAGGCCAATCAAATTCAGATTGCATAAATCTAGTAAAAATTCTCGGGATCTCTTATTCCATACAACTTTAAAAAACATTCGGAAAATTTGTTAATTTCGAATGCACTCTATTCCATAGTAGAATATATGGCTGCCCTGAGGTCTGGTGCTCAATAATTATAATATCTATCTTGTGTATTTTCATTGAGTAATGAATTTACATATATGTATATATATTTTTTTGTCTGAATTTGTGAAATTTTTTCAATAATTTTCAAATACTTGAGGTTTTTTATCTGCATTACATTTTTTTGAAGCTTGACTTGTCTTATTTGTATCTCCTCTGTATGCCTATGAGATCAATAAATTATCTATCTATCTATCTATACATATATCTATCATGTTTGTGATTCTTGAAGCTTCTTGGCGTCCTAAAAGTTGTTCGGAATCCTCTAAAAGCTGCGCGTCCTGCTCTTCCGAAGTTATTAGGCATGTTTGTCGTAAATTTTACGACAGCGCGCTTACTGAGAGGCCAATCTAACAAAGAAACACTGATATTCCAGCTGTTGAGTCAAAAAGTAGGAGCCCCTCGTTCTTCGGCTGCCGAATACTACGTCCAGAAGGCGAACCAAGTGCTCTGGCAGCACATCAGGAAATACTCGCTTGGCAACATCGATGAAGGGGTGGAAAAGCTGAGAAACGGCTCGTTGGACATCCTGATAGCCGACACGCCAATTTTGGACTATTATCGAGCTACTGATCACGGCTGCAAGCTGCAGAAGATTGGAGATGATGCCATCAACGAGGATACTTATGCTATCGGTATGGCCAAAGGATTTCCTCTCAAGGTCAGTGAAAATACATGAGATATTCACAAAATTAGCAAGATTCATAACATTCACAATATTCACAGTTCTCAAAGTTTACGAAAATAATATTTACGAAATTCAAGAAATTCGCAGAACATGAATTCTACAAGATTTACAAAATTTACAAGATTCACAAAATAAGGAAATTCACAAAATTCACGATGTCACTGTGCCCAACATAAGCTTGTGAGGAGTAACCATACCTTTGAAAACATCTATTTCGATGCTTGGTATTACTATCAGCAATAACCTTTCATGGGAAAATCACGTGAGATCAATTGCTAAAAGTGCATCTCAAAAACTTGGTTCTCTGTTTCCGGCCAGGAGCTATATCTCACTTCTAGTCAGCTACTTATGATCTATTAGGCACAGATCCGACCTGTCCTGGGATACTGTTTCCATATTTGGAGTGTAGCACCCAAAAGTACCCTGAAACTTTTGTATTCTGTCCAAAAAAGGCCAATTCGTTTCGTGGGTGATGCCTCGCTCACAAACTCACTCACCTCTCTGGAACATTGTAGAAAAGTTGGCGATCTGGCTCTATTTTATAGATATTTTCATGGACGATGCTTTTCTGAAATGTCAACAATTGTTCTTTCCTTAGCAGTCCCCGCGAGATTAACACGTCGAGTTGAGGCTTCTCACCCCTTGGTGGTCACCTGCAGAACATCTCTTTCCAAAGACTCGTTCATCCAACGCTCAGCGAGGCTCAGGAACACATTGCCAGGGGAGGTGTTCCTCGAGGCATATAGCCTTCAGAAATTCAAGAAGAACACCAATTGCTTTCTTATATCCCTTGGTTTCCACGATGATCTCTGAACATTACAGGATATTCCTTTTCGTGGGAACCAGAACATAGAAAAAAAATTGAAATTTACAAAATTTACAAAATTCACATGATTTACATTTTCGAAATTTAATAAATTCACAACAGGTAATAGGACAAAGGGTAGTGAGAATAATTTTCCTTCCGTACATATCTTTTTCCCATAACTTATAAACGACTGAGCAAAGTCATTTGAAATTTAATAGGGGTATTTCGATGGTTTCCTGGATGATTTAAAAATAATACAATTGGTTGCGGTAGATGGCGCTGGTTTTAGTACGTCAATGAGTTTTTAATACTTTATTTCACCCAATTTCAACAATACAAGAATAAATTTGAGCAAACTAATAACTGATATCTGATACTTAATGTTACAAGAAATTGAGCGTCATGACGCGCTAACATTACTCGTTAGAGAGTTTTTTTCTTCACATCAGTCCTAGAGTTACAGACAACACGTTATATGTCAATCAACGACAGCACCCTAGACATCTTTCACAGAACCGTCATTTGTCTGTCACTACACTTCACCTGTTCACCATACGTTGCCAAGTTCTCAGCATTTCTGCCAGTTGCCACGTTGCCAGCTCGTACTTATCCTTAAAAGTCCTGACGCGGCACCAGAGTTTGCTTCCGTGGACGTCTATTGGTCGAGACGGCCACACGTCATCTACTAAACGACTTGACCTATTGGGCTGTAATTTCTTGTACGTAATACAACAACAAAAATGCATAAGAGACTATAGGTAAGCTCAAGGAATTTGAAACAATAACAAAACAATGTGTACCGTATTATAAGAATTTCACAAAATATCCAAATTCCACACAACTTTCGGAACTTGAAAATTTTCAACAACAAATGATCCATTCGATTTTCAACAGGATAGCATCTCGGCAGTGATAGCGAAATACTCTAGCAACGGCTACATGGACATCTTGCAGGAAAAATGGTACGGCGGCCTTCCCTGCTTCAAACTGGCCACAGATATCGCTCAACCTCGGCCGCTAGGTGTCGCTGCTGTCACCGGCGTCTTCATCCTGCTAGGCGTCGGAATAGCCCTAGGGCTGCTCATCCTCCTGGTCGAGCATTTGTTCTTCAGGTACACTCTGCCGATGCTCAGAGACAAACCTAAGGGTAGCGTTTGGCGTAGCAGGAATATCATGTTCTTTAGCCAGGTCAGTTACTGTTTCGATTCACATTATCAACGAAATTCACGAAGATTGGAAGAATGAAAAAATTTACAAAATTACAAAATTAAAAATTTTTCAAAATTTTCAGGATTTTCAAAATTTTCAGAATTTTCAAAATTTTCAAAATATTCAAAATTTACAAAATTAACAAAATTTACAATATTCACAAAATTTACAAAATTTACAAAATTTACAAGATTTACAAAATTTACAAAATTTACAAAATTTACAAAATTTACAAAATTTACAAAATTTACAAAATTTACAAAATTTACAAAATTTACAAAATTTACAAAATTTACGAAATAAACAAAATTCACAAAATTTTCGAAATATACAAAATTTACAAAATTTAAAATTTTCACAAAATTAACAAGATTTACGAAATCTACAGAATTTACAAAATTTACAAAATTTTTCAAAATTCACAAAAGTTACAAAATTTACAAAATTTACAAAATTCAAAAAATTTACAAAATTTACAAAATTTCAAAATTTACAAAATTTACAAAATTTACAAAATTTACAAAATTTACAAAATTCACAAAATTTACAAAATTTACAAAATTTACAAAATTTACAAAATTTACAAAATTTACAAAATTTACAAAATTTACAAAATTTACAAAATTTACAAAATTTACAAAATTTACAAAATTTACAAAATTTACAAACTTTACAAAATTTACAAAATTTACAAAATTTACAAAATTTACAAAATTTACAAAATTTACAAAATTTACAAAATTTACAAAATTTACAAAATTTACAAAATTCACAAAATTCACAAACTTTACAAACTCTACAAAATTTACAAAATTCACAAAATTCACAAACTTTACAAAATTCACAAAATTTACAAAATTTACAAAATTTACAAAATTTACAAAATTCACAAAATTTTCAAAATTTACAGAATTCACAAAATTTACAAAATTCACTAAATTTACAAAATTAACAAAATTCACAAAATTCACAAAATTCACAAAATTTACTAAATTTACAAAATTCACAAAATTTACGAAATGTTCCAAATCAAGGAAATTTCCGAAATTCAAGTGACTAAATTCACAAAATTCGCGAAATTCACAAGATTTACAAAATTCACAAAATTCACAGAATTCACAAAATTTTCAAAATCCACAATATTTACATCTACAACATTCATAAAATTCATACAATACACACAATTCACACAGTTTACACAATTGATAATATTTAAAAGAATTTCAAAATTAACGAAATATACAAAATCTACAAAATTAAAAAAAAATTCACGGAATCTTCAAAATTTACAAAAGTAATAGAAGTTACAAAATCCCAAAAGTTATAATATTCACAAAATATACAAAATTTTCAAATGTTCTCGTAAATAATATTCAATTTGTTAGAATTGAAAAATTGAATATCCGAGAGAAGCAGCCAGAAATCAATATTCCAGAAATTTCATCAATGATTACATTTATTCTGGGATGTGAAGAACCTATTATATCTCATCGCAGTGTTGATATAATGTATTCAAAGAACAATTTTCGGAAATCTAGACATATCGATTATGCCATCAAAACCGCACTGACACAGGAAATCCTATTTTAACTTTGTGTGAATTTTGATTTCTATTAAGAACGTTATAGGAATGGTGAAGGAGCCACGTTCCTTCTCCATTTATCTTTTTGTGAACTGAGATTTGATATCACGAATGAAAGACAAGATACGTATATTTATATAAAATTTTTTACAAACTTCACAATGAGATAAAAACCTTGATATCAAAATACAAAACATTCTCAATCTCTCAGCATATGGAACAATATAAGACATTCTCGAAATTTCTGGAAAGCTGAAGAAAAATTCTGGCACATTTGAGAACATTCTCGGAAAAAGTGATACATCCAGAGGCCCAGTGGTATCATCCTCAGTGTATGAGTCACAGATGATGATACAACTTCGTCAATGAGTTCACCTTCAGGGTTTCACCTCAATAGTTAATGGAATATAAAAAGGATGCTTCCATCAAGAGTGAGACACACTTTAATTGATTTGGAATCTGAACGAAACGACTATAATATGCAGCACGCTTCGATCCATTTTCTATTGCGAGAAAATGTGAGTGGATCCGAGTGAAATTCCTAAGTAATGCGATCTAGGTCGATGATATAGTAACCCTAGATTCTCTCTAATGCACTTTCCTTGTGGTTTTGTTTGCAGAAGCTCTATCGCTTCATCAACTGTGTGGAGCTGGTGTCACCCCATCATGCTGCCAGAGAGTTGGTCCACACTATAAGACAGGGGCAAATAACCAGCCTCTTCCAGAAAAGTATAAAGAGGGTTCGTATCCGTTCGTTTCTTTACCCTTTTGTTGAATGAAATAAAGCGTTCAGCATAGTCAAATCTATAGAAAACCGCTAATTCTCTTAGTATCCATGAAATTTCCTTGATTATCATTGTTTCAGAAGGAACATGAACAGCGCAGACGCAGGAAAAGCAAAGCGCAGTTTTTCGAGATGATCCAGGAAATCAGGAGGTAACTATCAAACCCCCACGTTCTCATTTATAATTGAAAAATGAAGTACTATTCGCAGGCAGCAGCAAGAAGAAAGAGAGCCACCCTTGGAATCAGTCACTGAAGTAGATTCAGAATACCAGCTGTCCCCAGATGGCAAGAAATCAAAACTAAGTCCCAGCATCATCCGCAGAACATTCCTAAGATCCAGTCCCAAAGCAGAGAAGATCAAATCACCGACTAGCTACTTCAACAAACAGCTTTTCAGCCCCAGATCAAAAAACAAAGCTAAAAGCTCGGCCACTTTGAACGTCAGAAGATTCAGCACCGATAGCATTCTCAGTTCTCAAACTTTAAAACAAGATACCAGTGCCGTGATAGGCAGGAGATTGAGCAAAGACGCTTCTGCTTTTTTATCCAGCTCACCACCTGACATAAACAGTAGACGCTCTAGCTACCTAGACATCATAAGTTCAGGAAGTAAACTAGGAGGCAAGAGTCCCATACTATCTATAGAAAACCTCTCTGACTGCAGCAAGTATTCAGAACCCATGAGGAAACTATCGGACTCTGAAAGTATCGGTAAAAAGCTAGCAACGTTGCCTAGATATCAGGAATCCATAGACAAGCATCGTTTGCAGCCGCAGTACAGTCTCACCTTAGGCAAGAGCGATGAAACCCTGAGCAAGTCTGATAAGCTTCAATCGGAACCAGTCACCACCGCTAGAAGCTACAACAACGTTTCCAACAACCTCTCCGACGACGAGATAGCAAAGAGGAACAAACAAACCATCCAGCAGCTGCACAGTGCGATATCCAGACCCCCGAAATCTCAGAACCGTAGTGACAATAACACACGATCGAACCCAAATCCCCAAATTAGAATACAAGTGGAGGACACTACTCAATCTGAAGCGAAGAAGCACCCACCACTCTCCAAAACCGGTAAAACGAGGCATCAAAGTCTTGGCGATGAAACTGCCGAGGTGAATACCAGAAGATCCCGATTGCCTGAGCAGTCGAAGTCTTTGGATACTCCAGCACCTAGAGAGAGGTCAAGATCAAGGTCTAAACTGCCTCCAGCACCACCACCTCCTAATTGTTCTCCCAGAAACTCCAGCGGAAGGTCTCCCTTGGAGAGGTTGTCCAAAGAAGAGCTGGTGCTGCTCTGGAGAAGTTCTGAGTCGGAGCTAAGGAGTCACTTGCTGAAGGCTTTGAGGGATAAAGAGGAACCAGATCCTCCTTGAAATTGTGAAGGGAGGCCTAGAATTGGGAGTTCTAAAATGCCACCTGAGATGTTTTTGGAGAGTCGTTGATTCAATGAGCATGAATACATTTCGAGGAAAAAATTGGTGCCTATGGATTGAATGAACGGCCTTAGACTTGTAGGGTGATAAAATTCGACCACTAAGTGTTATTAGAAGCCTTTATCTTTGGGGGTTGTTCGGACCTCATCGCCTTTTCGACTAGGACTGGTTCTTTAGACAATTCTATACTACTTTGATCACTTCATTGGGTTTCATACTGCTTACAATTTGAATTATTAGAGTACGTAGTAGGTATATTCGATTTCGCAGCAAAGTTGCAATTTTGAGCTGACACGACGAAGACCCAAATTGACACTTGAAGTCTACTGAAAATTGCAACTTGGCTGTCAAAATACTCAGGGTTCCTTGATGCAAGCTGACGTATTCGTCATCTAACAAGGTGCGGACAGATCATAGCTCCTTTCTCTTTTAATCATCTAGTGACTTTGGTTTCGTGTATTGGCGTCCCTGACATGACATTGCTGTCGCGTCAAATTCATAGGCGTTAAAAGAGATCTTACAAAATTTTAATTCCATACTTTATCTTAATACGACGTTATCCAATTTTATTTTGAAAGGATGGTAAAATGTGCTGCGTTAGGCTGTATCAATCAGTTGGATGGCAAATTAGAATTTGTCAGCTTTCCATCAAATGAACTTAGAAAATGGAAAATGAAGTGACCGAACGGGAAAAATTGGTAAATACATCAGCAAAATATTCGAGGTACAATTCATACGGAATCACATATTATACTTTCTCATTGTGCCTATAATAATCCACTCCACAAGTTTCTGAATGCATTTCAGTAGAAACAGTTCTGATTGAAACATAGGATTAAAGGAAGAGGCATATATCTACCATTTACAAAATTTCACCTACATTCAGGAAATATCAAGTGTTAGTGAAAAACTGCAAAAATGATTCCCAACATGAATATACAGGGTGGGCCACCAGTAACGCCTCGGTCTCTAGAAGGCTAACCACTTATCTTCTTGGAATTCTTCCTCTCTAGGAAGTTGCATGTCAACATAGGCTACCATTTGAAATCATTTTGAAACATACAGGATGTCCCAAAAAATCACAAAACACTGAAGGTAAACTTTTTTCTATCGAACACCCTATATATCATTTCATTTTGAGATTGTCCCTGATGAGCTGATTTCAACGACCCATCATACTTGGGGTCTAGCAGTTATAATTACTGAAATATAGGGTGCGAAAAATCGAGATTTTCCAAGTTCAAGAATTTTTTGTGTCGAAACTATTCATGATTAGTCAAAACGGCTTACATGTCCCAATCTCAACTTTTGATCAACTATCTAGTGACATTTAATTGAAACAAATACAGGGTGGTGCAGAATTCAGAATCTTGATCACCCGGTATATGTCCCAATTAAATATCAGTAGATAGTTAATCAAAAGTTGAGATAGGGACATGTAAGTCGTTTTGACCAATTATGAATAGTTTCGACACAAAAAATTCTTGTACTTGGAAAATCTATATTTTTCACACCCTATATTTCAGTAATTATAACTGATAGACCCTAAGTATGATGGATCATTGGGATCAGCTTATCAGGGAGAATCTCAAAATGAACTAATATATAGGATGTTCGATAGAAAAAAGTTTAACTTCAATGTTTTATGGTTTTTGGGGACACCCTGTATGTTTCGAAATAATTTTAAATGGTAGCCTATGTTGACATGCAACTTCCTAGAGAGAAAGAATTCCAAGAAGATTAGTGGTTAGCCTTCTAGAGACCGAGGCGTTACTGGTGGCCCACTCTGTATACAGCACACATGACATAATAGCACATTAGTTTGAATAACATACAACAACATTTTTCACCATTTCTCAACCATAAGGCTTAGTCTGAAATCAAAATTCATTTATTGAAAGGTACTGCCTAAGAACAGTCCCATTTGGTGAAACGTATTAAACTTTCAGAATAATTTGCTGCCTCACAAAGATTTTGCTGGAGTTGAAAAATTAAAGAACTCGAAAATTATCATCATCATTGGGATATAATATGTAGAGTTGAATGAGAAATTACATGTGGAAATTACGTAGGTATGATACGCCAATGTCCTCAAAATAACCTTAAAAACAATGTCAGAAATCGAGTTTTTATTCCTAGAAATGAATAAAGATGGACCCAAATAACTGATCCACAAACACTTCAGAGTGAGAGGAGAAGAAGATCTGTCCGTACCCTGTTAAGATGACAAATACGTCAATTTACATCAAGGGACCCTAGAAATACTTACTTGATTATTTGGTGTCTTTTGAAAATGTTTAGAATTCCACTACATATACATGATGGAATGGAACAGTTCAAATTGTGAGCATTTCATGAATTAAAAGATATATACTGCCAAATATTTATATTTAGAGATTATCAAGTAGATTGGTGATATCGAAGTCTTATGCAGCAAATTTAAAGAGAGTTCTAAGAGCCTGTGAGAGGGCTATTATAATATAGTATATAAACAATATGGAAAATTCTCATTGAATATATTATATGACAGTTCTACATCAAACTCTTATATGTAACTGTGCATTGAAATGGAACACTGACATCAAATCATGAAACCACTGATATAAAATCATGGATGACATTTGGTTGACCTGATTGTCGATCTAGGAGGCGACCTAGTGCGAGGAGGTATAAAATTGTCTGGTCAGTGAATCGAAATATGTCTGTCTGTCAAGTGGCGCTGGGGACGAGAATCTGGAAAGAGCTCATTTGTTTATGTCAAAATAGACCATATTAGGTTGACATTCTCTTCTTCTATTTCTCTCCATTATGTACTCAACCACAGACATGCTTTCCATCGTTGACGTGATATTTGATATGAAAGCGATGAAGAAGAAGATTGTTTCATGAGATTGAGAGATGTCGTAATCATAAAATTATTTTCTGACAGTTGTCATTAACTTATAACTTCGTCTTTGTGGATGTGTTGAACTTTGAATTCGTATCCTTGAAAATTACAATTATTCCTAATTATTTCTTCGAGTAGGTATAATATATTATTATAGCTCCTGCCTAGCAAAGTTTCAATACTTTAATAAATACCTGGCGTCCTAAAAATGTGTGGGATTTCACTATCTGAGGAAAAATATGTAGGTAATCTTTGTTACATACCAATGCATTTCTATATGATATAATAGCTTTAACTTATTGAAATTTCGTTTGATGTGAGACTGTCGAGAATTTTATGTCAATTCTGAAAATATTCTCTCCGTCTATTTATTATAGATGTAAGTGATTTCTCTATCCTATTGTTGACATTTTATAGTTTATTGGAATTGAAGGAATTGAATGATCATTCCTGAAAGATATATACAGGGTGTCCCGAAATTACATAGAAATATTCACACCATAGATTCTAGAAACAAAAATAGTGAAAAAAGTTGATTTCTCGATTTTGAACACCCTATATCTCTGTAATCAATTCCGCTAGACCCCAAGTGTGATACATTGATCAAATCAGCTCTTCAGGGAGAATCTAAAAATACAATGAAAAATAGGGTGTTCCACATAAAAAAATCAAATAGTACCCTGTAGATCGTTTGTTCCGAGCACCCTGTATTTTCTGATGTAGCAGGAAAAAACTTTATAGAAAATCATTGAAGATGATATTTCAAATTTTGAAATCGGTTCGAAAATAACTAAGCTAGAGGGGGGGACATTTATGGTGAATCACCCTGTACCTACCCTCTTTCAAATGACTTTTAATTCCCGAGGGGGGCATTTCTCCGCTCATGTATGCATGATTTTTTTTATTTTCGTTCCTAGAATCTGTGGTCGAAATAGTTTTATGTGATTTCGGACACCCTGTGGAAGGCGAACACATGTGATTTGAGAAAAGTTTAAAATATTTTCTTGAGCTTTAATATAAGTTCATAAGATGAACGAGTTTTAAAAACTAGTATAAATATAATTATTAGATCAATTAGAGGTGTTTTAAATCGAAAAATTTCAACAGTCTACTCAATTTATAGTACTAATGTAATTTAGAAAATATTTTAAACAACAGTATTATTGTAAATAATGTATATAAATATTTAGATTACCGATAAAAATTTGTAAATTATAGGTAATGGAGTGAAGGCCACTATTGTTGAAGAGATGATAATATATGATTTTAGGTGTCTATGAGCATTATTTCACCAAAAATACAAAAACCTGATTTGATGCATTGATCAAATTATCACACGGTCTTATTGCAGTTGACATTTATGAAATCATGTCAAAAATCAGAACCAGATGTAATGAAAATTGCAATTCTCTTGTACATCGTTAGTTCTTTCTTGCTAACTCCGTCAACTGCAGAAGACGATCCTTCAGATAACCAAGAAAGTGAAAATTCGGAAGATACAGTTGGTGAGCATTCAACAACTCAATAGGCATCCATTTTAACCTTGAACTCGACTCTTTCAAGACGTTTTCACCAAATGTTATGAACACCTAGGATGTGTTCAAACAGACTCCAACTGGTATCACAAGATCTACAGACCAATCAATTTGAAACCAGCAGATCGACATATCATCAAAACAGATTTTCTCTTATTGAAACAAAGCGAAACAGTAAGTAGCTATATCAAAAAATCTATTGGTTTTTCGAAATTCAAGCAGCTCATTTGGATAATCTTCTTGTGAAGGATCCAGAGAGTATGTTGTACAATAGCTTTGTAGCTATTGAAGGATCTATGAAAGCAGCAGGATTCAACAATGCTTCTCAGCTCATGATAATCATCCATGATTTCACTGGTAACGGCTATTCTGGATGGATCAAGGTATATCATAAATACAATTTTCACGAGGAACATCATCAGGTGAAGATGCACTTATCAATCGATGAGTATTCTTCGGAAATTATTTTTTTGTACTCAGGTATTTTCGTCCGGAAAACACGAATTTCGCAATGAAAATGTGAACAAACCGCTATTTATCGAGATATTTTATGAAAGAGTACGAAATTTCACCTTCTTTTGCAACCCATATTGAATATTCATTTACAACCACTTGTCCATCCTTTTCCATCACATGACACTTTATATACTCAGGTTGTACCTCAATAACACATTTTATTTTCCAAAATCAATAAGAAGTATGGTTTAATTGGAATTTTTCCATATTTACTGAGGTACCTGAACAATAGTTTGGTTTCTCGAGTTTTCTGCAGATTTTTTGGACATGTGACCTTTGTTTGACAACTCGTATTTGTATTTTGAGTTCTGTGATTCGTATTTAGATTTGATAATTGGAAGGCCGTCTGCTGGTGTGATTGTTTACCCCACTTAACTATGAAAAAATTACAAATAAACCATATTTCTTGTTGATTTCAAGAGATAAAATGTGTTATTGAACTATAATGTGAGTATATGAAGTGTCCAATGATGGAAGAAGAATAACATGTAGTTGTAAATGAGTACACAAGATGATGAGCACTTTTTTGTAGGATATACTATATTTACTTTATGTTCAAAATATCAGTGAAATTGGTCTAGCGTGTGAATATACCATGTATGCAGATGATACAGTACTTTTATATGAAGGCAAGAATCCTTCAGATTTAGAAAATATGATAAATGAAGACTTGAAAATATTTGAAAAATGGCTCCAATCTAACCTTTTATCGATAAATACTAACAAAACAGAATATATGATTTTTCACCAAAAAAATAAACAAAAAATTCACCTCAACCTTAAAATAAAAAATGAACTCTTGAAACAAACTGACCAGATAAAATATCTTGGTATTTGGTTTGATGACAGGTTGAAGTGGGACAAACATATTGATGTTCTGACAAAAAAAATATCTCCAATTATTGGTGCATTGAGAAGATGTCCCAAACTTGATATTAAAATTGCAAACATGATTCTCTACTCTCATATACTGAGTCGTATCAACTATTTAATAAATGTTTGGGGATCTTGTTCAAAAAATAATTTCAATAAAATATCAACATTATATAGAAAATCGTTAAAAGTATTGTATCGTCTCCCATTTGATACACCAACCAATCAATTGTATGAAATAACAAATACGTATTCTTTAGATGAAATATATAGAATTGAAACTCTCAAAATATCATATAATATCATAAATGAAAAATTGAAGTCGAATATTATTTTGATACGGAATTCTGAAATTCATAATCATGAAACTAGACAATATAACTTGTTCCATCTTGACGCCGCTAGCTCCCTAATCGGACAAAAAAGATTCACTCATTCAGCCTTAACTGAATTCAATAAAATACCTGATAATATAAAAAATTGCAGAAATATAGGTATATTCAAAAATGAAGTAAAAAAACTAATTATTTCTGAGCGGACTGGATAAAATCAATCATGCCATTTTTCTTTTTTTTTTTTTTTCTTCTTTTTTTTTACAAATTCTTTGTTTGCCAATTTACAGTTGTTGATATATTTTGAATGATGCTATGTTTACCTATAGGTATATAATTATGTACTTCCTTATACCAGAGCCTATTCTGTCTGGAAGTTATTTGTTCAATAAATAAATAAAATAAATAAATAAATAGCGGTTTCTTCAAATTTTCATTGTGAAATTCGTGTTTTTGGACGGAAATACGTTATAACCAAAAAGAATTCTCGAAAGAAGACCCATCGCATGATAGGTGTACCTTCACCCATCAGCAACTAATTAGCCCCTATCGATATCTTCAGAATTTGGCATTCACAATGATCAAGAACGCTCTAGACTACAATCTGGTATCAGTAGATTGGCAAAGAGGGGCTGAACCCCCATATGATCAAGCCTTAGCAAATTCCAGAGTAGTAGCTTTAGAGATCATAGCTCTTTTGAAAGAACTGAAAGTTAGTTTCTGCGAAAGCTAAATTGTCACCAATAACTCCAGTTCCATTACAGGAGTCTATGCACTATAGCTTTGACAACGTTCACATAGTAGGCCATGGAGTGGGTGCACATATAGCAGGATACGTTGGTGGTACTTACAATAAAATCAAGAAAATCACAGGTTAGGCCCTCCTTTGATGAATTAAATTTACGTTATAGTAGGGAAGCCCAAGCGGGGATTTCGGGATTTACTCGAGCGCGGCAGATTAACATAATCGGGGTATTCTTGGACCTTGTGAAGTACTCCCACCATATCTGGGCCCTTTATATGGTGTCGAAAATGGAAGAGCCACAACGTTGCAAACAAAAATTGTCACCTGTACATTCTCAAGCGCGGTTAATTTTGCTCTTATTTTGAAGACAATCAGTCACGGATCACGGAAATAACATAATCTGCAGATTTGCACAAGCCGAAGTAGCAAAAATCATCAATTAAGTGTGGTGTGTTCATATCTATCTCAAACAGCAAAGCCGTTATATCACTTCGCCACACTATGTCTACATGAGCCTTATTACATCTCAGAATTGTGAATTCTTTGGGCTGTTGATGTCCTGCTACAAAAAACTGACCCACCCTGTATATTTTATAATTTGGTTATAACATTCAGTCAACAAAATAAAATCCAACCCTCAGATCGAGGTAAGCGTCTGTATAATAATCTAACGCTCTCGAGTAGTTCAAGGTCATAATTTTTTTTTGCATTTTCAAAAATTGATCGTGACTTCTGGTCGCGTTCAAATCGTCAGTCTTTTGAATAGAACACCTGTACACATTTTCCCCACCAGTGAAAGGTAATACAGGGTGTTTCAAAAAAACCTAACCCCCTTGCTAGGGTGGGTAAAACATTGCGAAATAAGTTCGGTTTTCTCAGTAAAAAAATGTCGTAACGCCATCCGTTTTCAAGATACAAGGTGTTGAAACAATATTTTTCTATACATTTTTTACGATTATGTTGAAACTACTGGCAACATTGTGATGAGATTTTGTATGGATGTTTCTTGGAATCTGACACATCGCATGCATTTGTTTTTATATCTGACTCTCATGGAGGGCGCTAGTTACACAGTTCGTACCGAGTAGTTTTGAACATAACTTTTTTGAGGTTAAATTTTTCGATCCAAATTTGATGTGAACTTAACCATCATTCAATTTCACATCAAAAAAGTACTTTTGGTAAAACTCGATACTGTGTTCCGTTTTCGGAATATTTCGATTCGAAAATGATGAAGTGGTAACTGTTGCTGGTATAAAGCTATGTATTAGAGTGAGTATAATGAAAAATTATCACCTATTTATTAAAAACCGAAAACAACAATACATTCCTGATGCAAAACTCATTGATTTAACAATGAATCACAAGAATGACATCGGAACAGAGTTGACTAAGAACATGGATACACAGTTTTGTTGTATCTTGAGCAGAAAGACTATGCTACATAGGTAAATTCACGTCAAGAGTTTTGAGACATAATTGAACATCACTTAAATGACCTAACAGCTGATCCTCAACTGTTCAGAAAAATGATACATTCTTAAAAAAAGAATACAGAATCGTGAATTCGTCGAAACGTAGGCAATTTTGAACACTTACTCTAACTGATTCAATTTTTCATGTTTCTAGTCAATTATCTCTTAATTTTCTACTTATGATCCTTTGTTCCATCAATAACTTCAGCACAAGAATGATTTCATTGTTTTTGAACCTGAATAAATAGGTAATTGAACTCAATAAAATATATTTTATACCAGCATCATTACTACTCCATTATTTTCAAATCGAAATATTCCGAGAACGGAACATAGTATCGAGTTTCACCAAGTGTACCTTTTTAGTGTGAAATTGAATGATGTTCAAGTTCATATCATATTTGGATTGAAAAATCTAACCTCAAAAAAGTTATGTTCAAAACTATTCGGTACGAACCGTGTAACTAGCGCCCTTTATGAGAGTCAAATATAAAAACAAATTCATGCGATGTGTCAGATTCCAAGAAACATCCATACAAAATTTCATTGCAATGTTGCCAGTAGTTTCGGAATAATCGTGAAAAATGTGTAAAAAAAATAGTTAATTCAACACCTTGTATCGTGAAAACGGATGCCGTTACGACATTTTTTCACTGAGCCAACCCAACTTATTTTGCGATGTTTTACTTACTTCAGCAAGGGGGTTAGGTTTTTTCGAAACACCCTGTATATCATGAAAACTGTTTTTCATTTTGGCATCTAATCTTCACGATCTGATACGTCCCCACGACGCTCGAGTAAATCCCTATTTAGCCTCTCTGCCTCCCTCACTATCAGCAACCCAGTTACCCACAAATGATTTTTCCCGAATGGAAACACACTGTACCTACTTATCTTTCCAGGTCTGGATCCGAATGGTCCACGGTTTCATGGCATGCCAAACATTGTTAAATTGAACCCAGACTGTGCGAAATACGTAGAAGTGATCCATACTGATTCATATGACTGTAATATTCTCCTCGAAAAGAATTGAGTACCCATCTTCACCACCAAATGAAACAGATACTTTCAAATAACCTCAACAACATTGATTGTATAGCTTAGTAAAAGATAAGCACATCTTTAGAACAGTTTTCTGTTAAAATTGGTGAACTTGGGTATACATTCTTCCTCTTAATATAACTTTTTCTAGCTAGAAGTCAAGGTATCAACGAATCGCTAGGTCACAGCGATTTTTACGTGAACAGTGCCCCAAATCAACCAGGTTGTTCAAACAATCCAGTCTTTTCTGATCTGTTATCAGTGGACAGGAGCAATTTGAAGGAAGGGCAAATATTACCTGGCTGTAGTCACAAAAGGTCTTTCAAGTATTTCATCGAAGCTGTTTCGAACGGAAATTGTACCTTCATGGGAATTAGTTGTGACGGTCCTAAGGAGTTTGATGAAGTGAGTGAAGAAAATCATCTTGATTATTTCAATAAGGTTTCTGTAACAACAGCAATTTTTGTAGTATATCCAACTTACAACTCTCCATGAAAATTGATAATTTCGGAGTCTTTTCGATTGTTGAGTAGTTTATTTTGGAATAAGCTACTCACCAACTGTTGCAAAATGTATTGATCATTTCTAGGGACGATGCAATTCATGTAATGATTCTGGCAGGGATTGTAAATTCTTTGGGTTGAAGACCTATATGAATGCTGCCCAAAATATCAAGTATTACTTGAATTCCGGAGATCAAACTCCGTATTGCAGTGAGTCGTCGGAAATTCAATGTCTGATGGTCGGGATAACATTTATTTAGTGTTTCAGTACAGAATGAACATATCGATAAAAGGTGATAGCAAGGTGGGCTACTTTGATTTCATTTTGGTAGACGAACATGCCAATGTAGCAGAAGCTGTCCTGACTTCTGAATCTTCGTAAGTATTAACACAGACTGCTCAGCATATTGATATCATCAAATTTGTTGTTAGATCTAACTACAGAGATATCAAAGGTGGTCAAAGCAACATTTTCGTTTACTATGCTCATCCCCCAAAACTGGGACCTCTGAAAGAAGCCAAAGTGAGATGGAACGAGGAGAAAAAATTCTACTGTATATTATTTTGCAAACAGTCCATAACTGTTGACAAAATAACTGTGAATTTTTTAGGCACAGGCTCGGAAGACGGAAGGTGAATCATTGAATTTTTTTTTTCTCATTTACCTCTAGGTATAGAACCTACCATTATTTATAATGGCACATACTTCCTGATAAGATCGTCTGATATGCGCTCGCACAATTTTTTTCCTCAATTAGAGTTAGAGATATTCAACATGTTATATTGTTTATCATAATTTCACAATAAGAATTATTGGAATTAGTTATACATAAGCTGCTCGCTGTAATTTGAAATATCAGTCACTAAGTTTTCAATGACATTAATAAGTATTTCGAATTAGATTTAGTAATTTCGCAATATAGTCGCTGTCCATGAAGGTCATGAATAACCTTTCTTTTTTCCGAAGTAATAATACTCGAATAGTTATAGATAAAATATAGTATCCTACTTGCGCATTATGACTATCACTCACTCAGATGATTACAGCACTCACCTTCCTGCTCGTACTGCAACTTTCATCTTCGTGGGTAAAAGCCATCATTATGCGCTCGTTGAATAATATACTATTTTACGGGACCTCATAACCCTCGGGTGGAGCCTCACGGGATATAAGCCTAGTCACTGATTTATAATGATATTCTTCACTACCATTGTGTATAAATAACTATTATAAGTCAATTACCTTCTACATATACAGGGTGCTGAAATATATCTCTGCTTCAGGTATGAAACTGTTTTGTGTCCCACAAACGGTGAAATGGAAATCGAAAATGGATCTTACAAGACTTTCACGAACTGCTCACCCAAATCGAAATCCTCTAGTACAGCAGTACCAAAAACCACTAGCAGTACCAGAACTTCAACGAAAATGACAACTAAGAAGGTCAATAGACACAAACATAAATCATGATAGGCATTTACACTAGTTTTAATTTACACTAATTCACAAAATAATATAATATACAATCCATATATCAATAATATAACAATCAGAGCTCTATACACTTGATATCAAGTATACCTAGCAAAGTGTATAAAACAGGATGCGAAAGTATGTGCGCTCTATTCACAATATCGGCTGTTCTTGATTCCGGAAAGAATCTTATTTCGATTCTTCGTTCTCGTGAGGCACAGTCTGAAGATGACATTGTCAAAAATCAGAAGAATTCCATAGTTTATGGAAACAGTCGAAATCATAAGTTGAATCTGAGCTTTGACGCTTTAGGTTAACAACAATCAAATTCAATGATCAAACATCAATGTAAATATATGAACACATTTTTCCACAGTTAGATATTCAATCACCGAGAAATGAAACATGCAAAATGATGGCAGCAACAACTATAAAGTCTTTGATGTTAACGTAGATCAGATCATCAAATCAAAAATGTTAATGATGCTTGATCTCATACAAAATAGAGACAACTCCGATTCAACTATAACTGTCATATATTTACAATAACTTGACAACAATACCTTATCCATTAAATATTATTGTAACTACTTCGCATTTTCTTTTCCAAGCCCTTTCTATACATCCTTTGTCCTAAATTCACAACAAGTAAGTACACGATTAACAAATCAATTATATGATGCCTTTTAGGCCTGCGATATGTATGTCAACTCAAATTCGAAAAATATCATAGAAAAATAAGTGCTTCGCAAATATCAAAAGGGCTCTTCTTCATAACTTTGTTCAGAAATCTTAGATTATGACAAAATTATTTGTTTGAATTTCGAATTTTTCTCATCTGATTGATAATTGCGAAGGTATATACGACTTTGAAACATTGAGATCTAATGCCAACCTTTTTTTCAACGACCTGTGCACCTATAGGTTTTTGTAGCTAAGGTCCTTAGTTCAATAACCGATTTATAAAATAACTGAAAATTTAGATTCTAATTTACTACTTGTACAACTAAACACTTCTCAATTTATAAAATTCGTTAACAGTTGAAAAAATTGAGTACGATACTACACGAATGTATAGTATCAATTCCTCATATTAAAACTATGATCAAATCAAAGATCCATCTATAATACACTTTCATTCTAGACTACTGTTTTTAATATTGACATCGTTTTGTTTTTGAATATTCCATGTGATGCTGAATCCAAATATTTTTAGTATGAAGATGACATAATGAAAATATGAAATCTTGAATTTTCATACTTAAGGAAGATCATGTTTTGAAAAATCGAGAGTCGTGTAATATAAGTAGATCACGACAAAGTGAACATCATAGTGGAAATATTCATTTTCCTATTTTCTATACGTATGTACAAATTCAAAATTTTCCTATTTTCAAAATGGGGACTATACTCAGGAAATTGTAACATACAAAGCACACTTTCGTAGAAGTCCCCTTGAAATTTCAGGTTATCCTGACCCCTGAAATATTATACCCTCCACAAAGAATATACAGGGTGTATCTAAATAACACAGAAAAATTCAAAAGGTGTTTTCTTGTGACATTCTAGCAAATGAAGTTCATACAAACATGTCTCCTAACTTGCTCCGTTATTGAGATACAGGATGTTGAAGTTGGAAGTGTTAATTGTTTTTATTTATAACCCTCCTGTATAAGTTTTCATGGTGCCAAAATTCAGTATGGATGGAGACTGAGAGAGCTCCAAAATTTCAGAATGATTCTAATTGGGGATATTGAGTAATCTCAATGAAAGTCTTCAAAACACCTGCATTAAAATTTGCAGTCAAATCGAATTCTTATTGTTTCCTCAAAAACTAAGCTGGATACAAAAATCACACAGGGAATGAGAAAATTGTTATTTCAATAGTTCAATCTAATAAAGATATGAAACTCTGAAAAACCGATGGTGTACAATGATATTCACCATAAATATCGATAATCTTTCCCACTGTGACGCCACTGCCAATATTATTTCGAATTTCATTGCACTAGAAGAAGCTCCATATTACTGTTAACAAAACCACAATGTTTTATTGGAATTGATGGAAAAACAATTGAGAAATGAATAGAACAAGGATTTTTCATGGAAATATTAATACCCTGTATCTCGAAAACGAAGAAAGTTAGGTCACATGTTTATATGAACTCGATCACCTATAATATCACATGGAATCACCCCATGAATTTTTTCGATGTTATTTAGATACACCCTGTATATGGTCGCCATCTATCATTGGTCACGTATTGAAATGAATCATAAATAAGTATTGGAAAAAGTTTATTCGTGAATCGGTGGAGAATATATGAAAGACTATAGTAGAAGAAGAAGTTGATAAAAAAAATTGTTTCCACCATTTATTTTCAAAAATGGAGTAATTTCAGGGATCAGGATATACAGGGTGTTTCATAATTGAATGCTGATCCTTGAGGGCGATAATCCTTGGATGATTTCAAAGAGAAAAGTTTATTTCAACATATGTCCTGAACGTCTTAGTTATTGAGCTACAGGGTGATGAATTTTCAAGAAAAAAATTAGTTTTTCATCATAATTTTTTATCACTCTTAGATATTGTTATGATATTTTGTATACACCTCATTATTAAGGAGCATTTTTTTACGTGGAAGATATTTTTAAAATTCTCACCAGTGGCGTCCGTACGGGGTTTGAACTGACAATTTTTGAAGAAAACAATAGTACGCCACTGATTTTTCTGAGAACCAGATTTTTTTTTCAATTCTTATTCATTTTGGAGCAAATTTGGTTCCAAGACTTACTTTCATACAACGTACCGTTTTCGCGTAAAAAAATAAAAACCAAAGAATTTGGTCCTTCAGTTCTTGGATATTGTTTTTGGTAATTCAGTAGACACCCACTATAAGTGGAAACACATTTTGTTTTGGGATGAAAATCAAACTTTTACTTTTACCAGTGATGTCCTCGTAGACCTGATATTGAATGTTTAGTTTAAAAAAACGCTGTACGCTTTTGATTTCAACACCCTGTAGCTCAAAAACTAAGAGGTTCAGGACATATGTTGATATGAACTTCTCTCCTTAAAATCATCCAAGGATCATCGCCCTTTAGAATCAGCATTCAATTATGAAACACCCTGTATACGGTTACTTGTAAGACGCATGCAAAAAAAGTATAACTGCGCATGGGTATTGTCAGTCTCTATAAAAGTAAAAGAAAACTCAAAGTTCAGCATATCCTGGTCGAAGTATCAACAGTTATCAAACGAGGGGACAAAAACTGTATACATTATTTTGGTCAGAGTTTGTTTTTTCATTTGTTGTGATATAAGAGCCTACACGTGAAATACCTTGTACAAGAAATTCGAGAAACTGAAACTGTTGGAACTGTCAAAAAGCTAAAAAGGTTCAACTTCCTCTTCTTTGACAAGATAACAGGTGATTTTCGAATTTTGGAAAATCATACTATTTCTCATCAATCACCTGAGGTATTCAGAATTGAGAGAATCCAGAAGCGGTCCTGAAACATTTTGCTATGGCGAGATTGAACATCTGTATTTGGTTTTGCAAATTGTCGAGTGGAATTTGAGGTTATAAAAAGATTTTCGTCGCACACTTTGCTCGAAGTTTTTGGAAAATTCAAGGAACGTCTGAGAGAAATTCCATTAACGTTACATTGGTTGAGTAGGTATATACTAAGAATACTTTGAAAATTCCATATTACTGTGTGTAGAAAACAATTTGAACAGTTTGATATGAACACATCATGCTAGCAACAGGTTTCAAGACCGTTGAAATACCTAGTTATTCGGAGATAAAGACCAGAAAATATTCTCACCCAAGTCATAGAATATTTTGCAAGCTCTTATACCACTCCTATATACCCTAAGATCGTCAGTTGTGGATGAAAACGATAAACAAAATGAAGTTAGCTGTTTTTTCTCATTGTAAACAAAAGATGGGGACTTTAACAGTTACAGTTGGCAGCTTGGGGACCTTGAGTAGCATCTGTCAAACGTTGGCCTTTTGCACCACCACTCATAAGAGTAGGGTCGGTGTCTAAGCTGTCGGACATCTTGTCACAAATGATATCCACTAGTCGTTCGAAAACAGCCTGGAAAAAAACAGAGAAATCAGCAAAAACCTGAGGATGAAGAGAACTAAGGAACTATCCGATCACTATGGAAGTGAAGTCATAATCATATAGCACCAGATTGCCACTCCATATGTATGCCCGTGGCCTACACAGTAACTAAAATTACGATGAAAATTCCACACCAATGATTTTTTTCTGCAACCGACACAAAAGTCGTCCATTTTGATACCAAAATTAGCTCTTAAATTGACGTTTCTATAACTGACACAAAAATAGGTATGTTGCAAGGCAACATATTTAGTTCCTTGGAGCTAAAGTTGAACTGTAGTTCCTAGGAGCTAAAATTGAACTTTAGCTCCTAGGAACTAAAAAGGATGTTCTGGGCGTCATCAAGAATAAACAACATTGTGACGGTTGGTTATTTGGGTTGAGACGCATACCTGATTTGTTTCCGATTTCGGCAGATTTGGCATTTCATACCCATGTTGGAGATATTAATACAACTTATTATAGTTAAGTATTGGAATTATAAACATCTCAGATGAGTATTTTTGTTTTGATCAGGGAAGCCTTCAAGATTCAAATACTTGCTTGATCTGTATTTCATTCGTTATTTTCGGGATGGATAACTTGTTTTTGAATAATCACGCCAACAATAGTTTTTTTTGTCTCGAACAACGATATTGTTTAGCTTCATTTGATTATCAAGTCAAACACAGTGTAGAATGGAGAGGAATAAATAATCACCATTATCATTGTTGATATGTTCACTAACCTAACATTTTCCACGTCTTGTTCCTATGGCTGGAACTGGCGCGGTATTTGCCATTAGAGCACCTGGTCCATACACAAATATGTCACTCTGTGGTTGTATTTATATTGAAAATACAATTCGAACATCCTTGGAAACCTAATCTGCTGATAATGCAGGTAGAATATTCTCACCACATGGATTATTTGTCAATATTTGTTGCATTGCATACATATGGCACAACAGTGGTGGTTACTTCACATGTTTGTTTGAGTTAATTGTTTCGGTTGCAGAAAAAATAGCATGTTTCATTCGGATTAAAAGTGACTTAGTTCGACTCGCAAATTTTGCTTTCGCTTGGCTTGGCTAAACGCTCCGCCTCGCAAATGCAAAATTCGCTTGTCAAACAAAGTGTCACTTTTGATCCTAATAAAACAATCTACTATTATACAGGTAAATTGGGTTATTATGTCAAATTACCATAGCAACGTATGTATTTTGATGGAAATTTTTTTCTCGTGGGTACCCATCAGCGTATGAAATCGGAATTTTTTAATGACGTTTCAATGACAGAATAATATTTTGACGTCCCAAAATAGTCCTAGAATATGGAAGGCTAAAATTCGAACTCTCTGGTACTGATACGCTTCAACAGGAAGATCAAATTACTAAGGTGGACGGACATACTGACCTTCACCAGAAATCCGCGGAGGTTCGAAAAGGAGAATCAGGAGAAGGAATAGTAGATATTATGTGCACATGACTTACTATAGTCTAAGATCCCAAGTAAGGTCGACCTACACTCATCTGCTTGCCGAAAAAAAAATTATATTCTATCAAATAAAACATGTTTTTGAACATGTACCTATGGGGATGCCATAAAAAATATGTTCATGACTATGATAAATAAAAATTTGAAGGAATATATATTTTTTTAAATTTTACCGACTTGCTTACCAGATAAATCAAATTCCAATGGAAAGCACACAATATATAGAATATGGAACAGCTAGGTTGCCTATATCTTTCTGGTCCCTATTACATGGTTGGCCGTGTAGAAACAGGCAAGTTGATAATTGCACCGACATGATTAGCACTCGTATGAACAGTTTCGACCAAAAAAAATCCCGAACTTGGAAAATCTCGATTTTGCACACCCTATATGTCAGTAACTTTCACTGCTAGACCCTAAGTATGATATGTCGTTGAAATCATATCTTCAGGGAGAATTCAAAAATGAGATAAAATATCGGGTGTTCCAATGAAAAAAACATAGCTTTGATGTGCTGTGGCCTTACGGAACACCCTGTGTATTTCAAAGAAATTTCGAAATGTGAAGCTCGGTTATCACTTTGATTTGAATGCAAAACTTTTTTTTGTATCTCCCAAGAAAACATAGGTATCGAACTCTGGATTCTTATTAGGCCACCCTGTAAATATCGAAAACACAGTTTTTGCACGGCCTATAAGCAACTCCACACCGATAAAAGTGGAATTACAGGGTATACAAAGTAGGTACTCTCTAGGCTAAAACATTTTCGGGGATTTTCCTGGCCATAAATCTACCACTATGTTTGCAGCAGCTTCGTCAATAGTTTTTTCACACATTTCTGCAATATTTATTGAATCGAGGCACTCTAGTAAAAATGTACTTACCTTAACGTTGATATTCTCTTTTGCGCTGGTTTCGAAAAATTCTACTCCAAGTTGCTCTCCCAGTTGTTTTCCTCTCTCGAAGCTGACTACTCTCTCATCTTCCATGTCACATTTGTTTCCTACCAAGATGACCTGCGCGTTGTCCCAAGAATACGTCTTGATTTGGGTCACCCTGAAAAAAGGGGAATTTTCTTTAACGAAAAACGCTTACTTGACAAACCATGCTGAAAAATTGTGGCACAAAAAATGGTAGTCATTCAAATAGATCAACTTAGTGCACAGATATAGTCAGTGATGAATCATTGATGAGCGAAAGAAAGTTGTCTATCCATTATTCCAGATTTTTTTGAATTTTCTCTCCTCGTCTCTGTAGAATTGAAATATGAATACTATTCCAACATATGTGTAGTGAGGACAAATCAGATGATTCGCAACAAAATGTCACTGCGTTTAAAGAATTTTGGCCAAATCATCTACAGTGTGTCCACCTTGAGGACTTACTACCCCTGTAAAATTGTTATCATTTGACCGATTTCAAAAAACTTTTTATTCGTTGGATAAATATTTGAAATGTCTATCCAACAAGAGAGTGACTCATGAACTGTAATCGTGGCCAACTGCGACCAACTTTATTGACCCATATTTGAGAAAGTACTGTAAGAGATTTTTTTTCACAAAAAACAATGATGGATTCTGAATCACGATCACTTGAAAAACACTTCATTGATTTTCAGCATCATAAAACACAGGGTGTCCGAAAAAACGAATTATGTTTTTTTTAATTGGTGATCAGAAAATGTAGTATTGTGGTATTTTTGAGGAGAATTGATGACACATTATTATTGAGGATTACTTTGAGCATATCTGTACCGATTTTCATTATTCAAAAATACGATGTGTATGAGAAAACAATTAAAAAGAAAAGGTAGGCAATATTTTTTCATCAACTCAAAAAAAATATTAATTTGATTTTTCGAACACCCTGTGTTTGATGATGATGAAAATCGGTACGGTATGTTCCAAGTGATCCTGATTCATCTTTTTATTTAGAGTGAAGAATTATCAGGATGAAGAATATTGATTATCTATCCTTTTTAATTTTTTTCTCAGACACATTATATATTCAATTGACGAAAATTGGTACAGGTATATTTGAAATAATCACCAATGATAATTTGTGATTATTTCTTTCTAGAAAAACCACAGAACTACATGTGCTGAACACCTATTTGAGGAAAGTGATGATTTTCGGACACCTTGTGTTTTATGATGATGAAAATCGGTACAGGTATATTTTAAGTGGTACTGATTCAGAATCCATCATCAAGTTTTGTGGAAAAAAATCCTAATAGTACTTTCTGGAATATGGGTCATTGAAATTTGTCGCAGTTAGCCACGATAACAGTCCAAGAATTTGATCACTCTCTCGTTGAATGGGCATTTCAAATACCTATCCAACAAAAAAAGATTTTTTGAAATTGGTCGGATAATAACGATTTTACAGGGGTGGTAAGTCCTTAAGATGGACACACTGTATATTGAGATCATATTCATATTTTCCTCAATTAACCTACAGACAGTATTTGAAGTTGTCTATCGTTCAACTTTGTGATATTGTGGATGAGCCTCACTATTTTAGTTTTTCTTCATTTCTTGGAGCGCACGAAAGGAAATTCCTATGATGTATCTACTCACCAATCTTGAACACTGTTGAATGACTCCTCATTCGTAATATCGTACATCAATATGAATCCCATTGCTCCTCTATAATATGCTGTAGTAATTGTCCTGTATCGCTCTTGTCCTGCTGTATCCTGCAACAACAAAAACAATTACATTCTTTTCCATCAAAGCTCCTAAAAGTTCATCGTTCGTGATATACAGGGTGTCCGTTTTTCGAGCTCCACCAAGGGGATTTCAGTTAGTATGAGAGATACAAGGTCGGTTAAATAAAGGCAGAGTTGCGCATTTTCATGCTGAACATTCATCTGCAAGAAAATTTGATGTCATTTTTAGTGTTTGAATTATTGGAAGAAAACGAACATTCAGAAAGAAAAGGGACATCGTGAGATCCAAGGAAAATGAGGTAGGAATTGGGTGTTCTTCTTGAATTTCTAGAGGTTATATGCCTCGGGGAACACCTCCATTGGCAATGTGTTCCAAAGCCCCGATGTTCGTTGGATGAACGAGTCTTTGGAAAGAGATGTTCTGCAGGTCTCCAGAGTGACCACGAAGGGGTGCGAAGCTTGAACTCGACGGGTTAATCTCGCGGGGACTGCCAAGGAAGGAACAATTGTTGATATTTCAGAAGAGCATCATCCACGGAAATATCTATAAAATAAAGCCAGATCGCCAAATTTGCTACGGTGTTCCAGAGAAGTGAGTGAGTTTGTGAGCGTGGCATCACCCACGAGACGAATTGCCTTTTTTCGGGCAGAAACCAACAGTTTCAGGGTATGTTTGGGTGCTGCACTCCAAATATGGAAACAATAATTCTCCAGGAAAGGTCGGATCTGTGCCTAATAGATCATAAGCAACTGACTGAAAGTGAGATAGCTCCTGGCCCGAAATAGGAAACCAAGTTTTCGGAATGCACTTTTAGCAATTGATCTCACGTGATTTTCCCAAGGAAGGTTATTGCTCATAGTAATACCAAGCATCGAAATGGATGTCTTCAAAGGTATGGTTACTCCTGACAAGCTTATGTTGGGCACAGTGAGAACGGTTTTTCTAGAAAAAAGGGAAGCTTGTGTTTTGTTTGCATTGAAATCTACCAAGTTATTGGATCCCCATAGGGGAATACAGTTTCGTTGAAGGTGACGAGAAGTTCTTGCATATTCGACAAATTTGGAGCAAGCAGCTATGCACCTCCAAAGCGCACTAAATCCTCTTCAGGAGTACTTCCTGAGATGGAAGATCAAATTGAATCCTACAAAAACACAATTGGTCGCACTCGGAAGGGAGCGGAGGCCTCCCAGAACCAGAATAGTCCTGGATGGTCATGAGTTAGAGTGGTCTTCACAAGTTAAATACTTAGGTGTGTGCATTGACAAAAAGCTCACCTGGGCCCAGCACATTGAACAGCAAGTTTCTAAAGCTAAACGAGCCATTGGAGCCCTGTATCCATTTCTAAACAGACGAAGTAAATTGGGTTTGAGACAAAAATTGAATATTTATATCATGGCTATCAGGCCAATTTTACTGTATGCCTCAGTAGTCTGGGGCCACACAGCTAAATCTCATATCACCAGATTACAAACATTACAAAACAAAATCGCGAGAATGGTGACAGGATCTCCTTGGTATGTTCGGAATAACCATATCGCCAGGGATCTGAAACTCTCTTCAATCGTGTCAGTCATTAAAGAATGAAACATCAAAACTTTCGAAAAATCTGAGGTTCATGAGAATCAGCTTCTTCGAAATGCAGTTGATTATGACCCAGGTGATCAATCAAAGTTCAAAAGACCGAGATTGTCCATAAACTAGAGAAAATATCGACATTATGACCAAATTTACTATTCTCAAGTTTTTGATATTTATTTATTCCGTTCGATCTCTTTCAATTCTCAGAATGTATTTCTGAAACTCATTTGGGGCAGAAGGGCTGTTCGCATCAAACTTCAATACCGTTTTTATTTTGTTCCATAATAGATATCAGGATAAGAGGGACTCTTTCCTGGTCTGAATAAAATAAAAGAAAGATCCAATACATATAGCACCAATACTCACCCATATTTGTAGTTTTACTCGCTTGTCGTGCCTGAAGACAGTTTTGACTTTGAAGTCTATACCGACTGTGCTGACGAATGCTGATGTGAAACTGTCGTCAGCGTATCGGAAAAGGAACGATGTTTTACCAACAGAACTATTACCTATGATGAGTAATTTGAACATGTAGTCGAAGTTCTGATCTGCAGCGTCTTTTTGCCATTTCGGATCTGAGCCAGCCATCTGAAAGAAAAAATCAAATCCACTGATAAAATATTTGCAGTACGGTAGTCACTGAATAGTGATACATCTTTAGGGCGTTCTCTCAAACCTTATCAAATTACTTACATTCAATTTTTTGTCTATGTGAATGGAATTATCTGTTGTCTCAATGATTTCAGCTAGAATATTCATTGATGTCTGTTCCATTTTTAGTTATTTGTGTTTCTTACCAATGTTTTTCTCAATTCTTATTGTAACTAAAGCTAATCTGCATCTTACTTTTATAATCAGGATTTGTCAATTATTGGAATATACAGAGGAAACAGGAAGACAAACGTGGGGAATATTGTGGTTAGGAAAAAAATTATTTCTTTGCAATGTCAATTCATATGTGGTCATTATCATTGTTGTCTCAGATTGAAAGTATATTGTGTTGGAACTTTACTAGTTTATAACAATTGAATGTAATATTTATGATATTTGTCGTATAGTAACTTACATTGTCAGAAAAATAGCCTAAGGGTATTTCAACCCAAGATATGAGCCTGTGAGATCTTCGCTTTTTCAAATCAAATGCGTGGTCACCTGTTGAGGAATAATCTTGATAAGACATACAGGGTGATCCAGAAGTCAACGTCCAAATTGTTCTCATTCCATATTCCGATTAGGGGAGATGATGAAATTACCCAAAACTGTCATTATGAACAACCTCTTCAAATATTCAATTTTATTAACATAAAAAATTCTGTTATACTCTTGACAGTTTTCTTCATTCTTCTGTAATCAGGAGAGATTTTGTACTTTGTGCAAGCCTAATTCAATTCAATGAATGTTAGATAGGTACCTATTTACGAACAAGAACATTCCCTTGATTACTGTTTATCATTTGTTCTGATCGGATTGGGATTTGAATAGTTGGTAATCTGATGATAGCATAAATAGATAATGTTCCCCTTACAAAGTTGATACTGAATGATGATTAATTTTATGTTATAATTTCTGAAATAAGCATTTCGCACTAGACATGAGCATTCGTTAAAGAAATCAAGACTTTGCAGAAAGTCTTTAAATCCTTTATACAATTAAAAAAAAGTCATTTTGAACTTGTATCCAGAAATGCTTCATTTGGCAAATACAGGGTGTTGAAATACAAAATACAAATCATTTTTCGTTGAACATTCCATGAGGAAAGAGAAGTCTGTTTTGACGGGACCCAAGACATACTTATTGTAAAGATCTCAGCAACTTCACTTAGCGCCCTAGGAACTAATCAACATGGATCGTTATAGAAAATTATAAATATCTTCAAAACGATCACCTCCAGCGTTGTTGAGGAAGTGTACCTTTTTTACTTGGAAAAGATGTGGAAAAAGGTGTTTCCATGAAAAGTACCAAAAGTTTACTATCAAAAATGTTAGGGCGATTTGTAATAAATTATGACAGCGTACAGAGCGCCCTCTAGATGTAACATGAAAACTAATACGATAATATGATCTCTCACGTCAAGAAACAACTGGTGCCAAATTTATGCAAAATGTATTCTGAGAAATCGTTTATTCCAGCATTTCAATAATTTCCTTCAGTACGGATTGAAATTCTGGGATAATTTTTCCCCAGCAGAGCACTTGAGCTGCAAAAAACAGCTATTCAATGTTTAATTGCTTCGAGCATCTGTATTGTCATGATATTCCACTTAGAGGGTCTCTAGAAACATCAGCAGGAGTACAACGATCATCCTGTAACACGCATTCCAGATTGTTCTTCAACCTCCCAATGATTCCTACATGCACCAGCATATTTCCGAACACTCAATATATGCTGCGGTGACAAATAACGTGACAGAAGATTCTGGAATGTTCTGGAAACAATCGATGGAACAATTAGAGAGAGAGGTACTGTTCTGAGAAGCTTCTATAGAACAAAAAGAAGGAGACGGAAGATCATTCGAGAATGTTCTCGAACCAAAGCCTGCCAAGTGATCTCATATATAAACGGCCAGACAACTGCCGTCAGTCAGTTAAGCAGCGAGTGTCAGAGAGACAGTTATATACCGCGTGATATGAATCGTTTTACATAAATAGTAGTTTTGAGTTCGATATAAATTAGTGTTTCTTTAGTTTTAATAAATCAGTTCGAAAATAAATAGTGTCGTGTTCGCTTCTGCACCCGAATAACGTAACAGTATATATAAAGCTATAGCTTGATTATTTTCAAAGATAAAAATATTCATAAATTCATTCTGACATCCGCAGATATACGATACAAGATGAAGATTCATACCTACTACTAACTTGATGTTTTTTATACAGGCACTAAGATCTTCAGAGGCCTTCCTAACTCAATCACACATTGTGATAACATTAAAATATTCAAGCATACATTGAAATGTCTCCTTCTTCAACATGTTTTTATGATCTGAATGAATTCTACCAAGTTTACACCGAATGTAAATGATTCCAACAAATTCATCAAAATTGTACAAACTTTCCTTAGCCTTTCCTTGCACTATGTTTTTGAGGAAATTAAATTATTACATTATCACATTGAAAAGCGAACACGAAAATTCAATTTCAACACCCTGTTTCTCAGAAACGGAAGCACTTTTGAACACAAGCTTATACAGACTTTTCTTCTTGGAATGTTCTAAGGAATACGTCACTTGAATATTCAAACGTTCTTATGTTACACCCTGTATATGCAAAAATTGAATAAGGGTTCGGCTTGATATAGCTGTATTCTTGAGCTAGTCCTTTTCGTTATTTATTTTCGTAAGTTCCACTTTGCTAGAAACTGAAGTATTGTGACCTACATTTATCTAGGATTTCCAGTTTTTGGGTCAGGGACCATTGCATTGACTGTCAGAAGTGGAAGAAAGATAGCAAGGCAGAACTCGTTATTGTGAAATTAGAAATTGGATAAAGGTATTCCTTTGAAATTCTCGTAATTCAACCTTATTTTAGTGAATAAAGTTCATATAAACATGTGCCCTAACTCGCTTAGTTTTTGATATACAGGATGTTGAATTTGAAAGTAATAATTGTTTTCATTCATACCGCCCCTGTATGAGCTTTCATGGTGCCAAAATTCAGTATGGTTGGAGACTGAGAAAGTCCCAAAATTTCAAAATGATTCTTATTGAGGTTATTGAGTGATCTCAATAAATGTTTCGAGAGCATCTACATTAAAATTTGGAGTCAAATCGAATTTTTATTATTTCCTCAAATACTAGGCAAGATTAAAAAAAACACAGAGGTTGAGAAAGTTGATATTTCAATTGTTCAATCTGATAAAAATATGAAAGTCAGGAAAACCAGTGTCGTACAATGATATGTGACAACCACTGTGACGCCACTGAAGATATTATTTCGAATTTGATCACATCAAAAAAAGCTTCATGTTACATTCAACGAAACCACCAAATTTCATTGAAATTGGTAAAAAGACATTCGAGTAAAGATTGAAAAAACGATTTTTCATGGAAATATTGATACCCTGTATCTCAAAAACGAAGCAAGCTGGAACACATGTTTATATAAACTTTATTTTCTGAACTATCACAAGGAATCACCACCTGAAGTTTTTCGCACTTATTCACTAACACCCTGTATAATTATACATAGGGAAAACGAGTCTTTAAAATTCAACAAAAATCGAAATATTTTAGTACAGCACAGTATATTGAACACTCTAAAGTTTGTATATGAAAGATTACTAATCCCTGTGTAAAATATACCCATTTCAAAATGTTGAATCTGAATAAATTGATATTCACCTTTCTCCATTCAATTGATCATTACTCTGGGAAACATTTTTTATATAAACTTAGATATAGCACTAGAATTTTCTTGCTTAAAGCGGGTAAAAAACTATCTAGGATCGCTTTAGTTTTTTTGTGCATATTATATAGAGTCAGAACTTATTAACAAAATTTCATACGACGATATAATTGATGATTTTGCAAATTGGAAATCTAGCAAAAAAGTTAACTGTGAAATTTGCTTTACTAGATTGATTGTATTGCATGTCATCATCAACAGGATTCAATAGAGATACTGTTGGTATTGTTTTCAAATTAGACAACGTAACAACGTTAACAAAATGTAAATTATTCTGTAATCATGTTAACTGTGTTCATATTGGTATATGTATTTTTGAGGCATATACCCCACTCTGCCTTTTTAAGTAAAACATAATTGAAATATACCCAAAAACTATTTCTTGTTCAATCTTCTTCAAATTGTGGGTTGTAAAAATGATTTAAAAACTGACACACCGAAACCATAATTCAAAATCATGCTGTAGGTTATAACGAGAAAAAATTGATGTAATGAAGATCATACAGCACAAGTCATGAAGTTGACAGAATAAATGTCTTGAATATGATTGCGAACTAGGGTATTTAATTTTTTAGGTCAGAGGGATGGCAAAAATTAAACAGCCTACTGGGGGCAAATTTATAAATCCGCCACTGATCTTCCCGACTATGATATACAAAGTGTTTGAGTCATATGTATGGCGCCCTTCAGCAACTGTCATTTCCTTTAGAGAACGAAACTATTTAATTCTGACATGTCAGTTCACTTCCACTGATACTGCTATTTTTTATAAACCCTTAATTTGCCTTGTGAAATTTTTACCCGATTCCTGCATAATATACTGCATACAGAACGACAACTCACATAACCTACTCCGAACGAACTGATAACGATGTATACTACGACCACAGTTATTCAAATTTGTTTTGATAATTATCCAGTTATCATTATTCAGTTTCCTTTTATAGCACGTATTACACAATTGAAAAAGTTAGCTGAAAACCATTTCCTTTATGAAAGATGTTTTCCCTTTGTTTTGAATATATTGTGAAGAAGAGATTTGAATGAATCTTTTTTTTATCGCTTGGAGCGCACGAAAGGGAATCCCTATAATGTTCAAAGATCATCGTGCGTTCCTAGGGAGAATAGGGACAGGAGGTAGGTATTGGAATTTTTTTTGAACTTTTGGAGATTATATGTTGTTGGGAATACTTCCACAGGCAATGAATTCCAGAGCCTAGCCGTTCTATGGATGAAGGAGTCTTGATAAAGTGCTGTTCGACATCTTTCGAGGTTGACAACGAAATGATATGCTGACTGGGCTTGTCTAGTTCGTCCGATTGGTATTGCTAGTGAAGGGATGATAGCAGAGATTTCCGAAGCACATTTCCCGTGGAAGTATCGATAGAAAAGTGAAAGGTCGCCGACCTTTCTACGGTGTTCCAATGATGTCAAAGAGTGAGTGAGTGTGGCGTCACCCACCAGGCGAATGGCCCTTCTCTGGATGGAATCTAAGAGCATCATCGTATGTTTTGGTGCTGAACCCCATATGTGGGAACAGTATTCTAGAACAGGCCGTATCTGCGCTTTGTAGATCATGAGAAGCTGTTGAGGTGTAAAGTAGCTTTTCGCACGGAACAAGAATCCGAGTTTTTGTGAAGCAGCTTTTGCGATGGATCTGACATGATTATCCCATGAAAGAGTGTTGCTGATGGAAATACCGAGCATAGATATGCTGGGCTTGGTGTGGATGGTGGAGCCAGACATAACAATATCGGGCATACTGAGTTCCGCCTTTCTAGAGAAAATGCAGGCTTGCGTTTTGGTGGCGTTGAATTCAACTAGGTTGATTGTTCCCCAGGCTGTGATTTCAGCAAGATCTTCATTGACAGCATTGACCTGCCTGCGTCGTGAGTTCTTAGTTTCCTGGGAAGAAATGGGAATTCTGGAAGAGAACTCAGTATGGAGGGTACTATCATCTGCAAATCTGTGGATGGGGCAAGTTGTTACTCCCAACAGATCATTGATATGAAGCAGGAATAATGTTGGTGCCAAAATTGATCCTTGTGGAACGCCGGAATTGATGCCAATGGTATCAGAAGATACACCGTCCACCACCACGTGAAGCGATCTGCCTGAAAGAAAACTCGATAAGAGATGGCATAGCTGAGGTGCTAAGCCATATGCTTTCGATATGTCCAACGCGACAGCTACTTGGATTAGAAGATGTTCAGCTATACGGGGGTGATTTCCAGGGTGGGTTTTCAGATACAAACTCTGAAACAGGGTAGGTATATGTTATTTGTTAGTTTGGAATATACTGTGGGAAATTGAATTCCAGAAATGATGAATTCATTTAATTTTGAAGATTTTGAGCGACACGGTGTTTTCAGATACTTATTCTGAGGAATGAAAGATCAAGTGATAAATATAACAAGTATCATTTCGATAGTTCAATAATCAATCAGTCATCGATTACACAAAATGTTTTCATCATCAAGAAAAATTGGATAGTTTGGTGGTAACTCTTCAACTACATCAATAGAAATCATCCTGTATCAACAACTTCTTGATATCACAAGTGTTCACCGCCTAAAACCTAATTGAAACAGCAAACTCTTGTTTTCATCAATCGGAAAACAAAATCAGATGCACTGTCTAAGACATGGAAATCTCGAATAACATAGACAAAAATCTTTCATCTAACCCCAAGATGTGAGAAATCAGTGTCACTGGAGCATTACACCAAGGTATTTCAAGTCATCAGATAATAAAAGACGAACAACCAGAAGCTGTGACTGCTATGGACATCAGCAGTAGGACCCAGCTTTGAACTACTTTCAATCTCCCTGTCCATCTAGGCTTCTAGGTGAGAAGATTCAAGACAGGAACTAGAACATTTGGATGCTCAAGCTGTCATTTGTCAAATGATAGTAAGCTCGTATATCCAACAATTATATTTACTGTATCGCTGAATATTGTCCAGATTTCTCAAAAGGTTTTTTGAGTTGTTCAGAGAACTAAGGCTGTTGGCTCATGACTCTCCTTGAGCATTGAAACTAGTAGTCTTCTTAGGTAGATAATTCGGTTCTCAAATACCAAACTCACCATGAAATTCGTTTAAGCACTAACAACCTCAACACTATGTACACTTTACTATTTACTAACTAAAATTACGTTGATTATGTTTCCCGTTTAGTGGGTTGCAGGACCAGGGTTGACTGTCAAAGTTACGAAAGCTTTGGGTACACTGTTCCATTGGAAAATCGATCAGCTGGAGTACACTCCCAAAGGAAAAGCATAGGATAGTCCTGGATACATCGCGATCGATAGTGTATTTATCGGTGGGTGGAATCACTGTGGACGTATTGGTACATGGAAAACATTTTGGGAGCTTCTTTACATGGTGCAATGATTATATTTTTTACTAGGCAGAAAAGTACAAGATTTAATGCCGCGGCTGGCGTTTCTTAGCCTAGGCGTAGCTGAGGCTAGGAAACCAGCCAAAGCATTACATCTTCTTTTCTGCCATGTGAAACATATAATTTTTTCTACAAATTCTTCTCAATTTCACGCAAAGTCCAAATAATCCATCATTTTCAGTTCACACAAAGTCGTTGTCAATTTTGATTACCAATTTGATTCAAATTACTTGGAATTTGCATTGCGACAAACTTTCTCTGCATAGGCAGTAAAAGTACAACTTTTCTGCCTGTTAAGTATCAATAAAACACAATGGAGTGAGTCATTGTGATGTCAGATGCAGAAATAGAATTGATGACATACAAAATAACTCATAGATGTATCGAACACAGTGAAACAAGAGCAATTTTGTGTTATTGTCTTAGAAATAGTTATTTATTATACAAGGGAAAAAAGTAGTAGATTTTAGCTCCAGGTTGTGTTGTCTCCCGACGCGTAGCGGAGGGAGACAAAAAACCGTGAGCTAAAATCTAATATTTTTCCCGTGTATAATACACTATTTTTTTCTGTGACAGAAGAAAGGAGGAATCAATATTGAGAAGATATTACATTATTTTGAAATCTGAAAATTATCGATGTGAAATTTCAAGTTTTTAACAATAGGGACACCCGCGTTGTAGGTATCTTTATCATTCTTTTGAGGTAATCAAATATCTGGTGTCACTTCTGTCAGTCTAATTCTGTTATTTTATTTCAAAAAATTGCGAATTTAGTGGTTGTTTAGTAATATACGTAACCGCGAAGTCGAATGGAAGATAAAAGGACTTGCAGTTCTTTCTCGGAGACGGTATTATTGACTCATTTTTCGGACCAATACCACAACAAAAGCGTATATATATATGTGATATATCCGGGAAGAAAGTACTCACTTTTTTTCCACGAGAAAGAAGTAATTTATGAAAAGTGACATTTCATATACTGCCAACAGAGATGCAATGTCAAACTTTTTTCCCGTCACAGAAAAAAACAATTTTTCAAGTATCGAAATCATATTGGGAACTTACTCGATTGGAGAACATGTCTATTGATTTCACTAAACACATTCGTACAACTTAACATGGTGCCAGTTGAATTAACTTCTAGTTGCTACTTCAGCAAAGCGGGTCATTATAAATTCTAATTAAAAATACTCAGTTCATTCGAAAATGGAACAGAGGCAATGCCTGCCTGTAGAATACACTGCCTAATCAAGTATATCCATTGAAAATGCCTATACAAGGTGTAGGTCATAAAACTCATGCACAATTCTCATGTATCGTTGTTTTTTTTTTTTCATAATTCAGATGACCTTCCTCGATCGAGATCTCCCTTCTTCGTTCTATTTTTTACTCCAACGTATACCAACCTAGTTATAATAGTTATCAAAATATCTGATCGTTTCTATCAGTACTTCCAGCGATCATAAGGAATATATTGATCTGATAAACAGAAACAGGTGCAACAAAGCGTTCACAATAATTTATCGAGCCATACACATGTATGTATAGGTGGATAATCTCTCGTTCTCCTCAGGGTCAAATTTAACGATGCATGTCACAACCTTGATTGCAGGTTCATGTTGAACTACTTGCTACTATACCACCAGCGAATATAAATAGGATTCTAGGAATTCGTTTCCAAGAACTTTGGATGAGAGTGTACGGAGAGTGATAGCGCATGGTCGTCCATAAAGCGTCGATATTAGAAAGACGCCGTTGGTTTGTGTCAAGTGGTGCCATCTAGCGGTGATTTGAAGAAGCGTGCCTGTGAATGGAAGAACGCTGTAACATGAGAAAAGGAATTTAATCCACAATGAAGACTTATAATCTCTGCTTGAAGGTAGAGGGAAATGAAGTAGCGTACAAAATCGCTAGCAAAGAAGCTCAAACACTCTTAGAGGGGCCAGAACTTTTCTGCGGGCAAAGCTGCCGCTCGCAATTTTCGCTGCGTACTGAAATTCTAATAAAAAAGGTACTGAAACGTACCGAAAGAGGTCAACAAATAAAAAACATAGAAGAGACCGAAAAAGAGATGATGACTTCAAGGGTATATACTCATTTCTGCATAGAATGATAGAAAAGGACAAGTCATGACGTTGAAACTGGGAAAGAACATGATTAACTTTCAATCTATGCCAGGAGTAAGAAATGTTTTCTCCCACTTTAAACGACATCGCCACGTTAGTTAATGACCGCGAATATACATTTCATTGTACCACAGTAGTTTAAGTTGAAATGTTTGTGAGAATATGGTTGCTGCCATGGTTACCTCGGTTAAAAACTGACAATACTCATAAGGTTCTTGGTCATCGCTAATATCGTCATATTTCTAATGGCTATCGGACCAAATAACGACAATCACGACAAAAAAACGAAGAAATGGTGTACGTTAATTTTTGATAGTGTTTGATGAAATTCTGATGATAGAGATCCTATTTCCATTTTAAAGAGGATTCGTACATCGACATATATTCGA